GCCTGATCCCGCCACTCCCGCATCCCACCCCTCTCACCTGGTGCCTGGCTGTCGGAGCAGGAGCGCGGACGGAACCCCTCACCCCTCCACGCCGCCGAATCCTGCCTCGGGGGCTCCCGGGTGGGCTGTGGGCGAGGAGAGGAGAGGCAGGGTGTCAGCTGGGACCCCCAACCTCCCCCCATCCGCGCATCCCACCTCCTCCCGGCCCTCACCAGAGTTCCCGGGCGGGCGCGCCGGGCATCGGCCGCCTGCTGCCGGAGGATCCTGTTGTCCTGCTGCAGCCGCGCCAGGCGCTCCAGCATCTGGCAGACGTGCTCCAGGTAGCGCAGCCCCTGCCCCTCGGGCACAGCCCGGGGGTCTCGGGGGCTGCCGGGCGGCCGAGCCCTTCCAGCCGCGGGGGCCGCCGCCCCCTCGGGCTCCCGGGGGTCCCGCGGGGTCTCCGCCAGGTCGGCTGTGCTGGCGCTGCGCCGGCTGAGCTGTCGCGGGCATCGCTGCCTCCTGCTCCGCTGCGCTGCTGCCTGCAGCAGCTTCCTGCTGGCGGAGCGGCTCCGGGGGGCGCAGGGGGGCTCCGGGCCCGGCTCCTCCCCGGGGGGATTCTCCGCCGCCGCGAAGCCGTCGAGGGAGAAGCTGCTCTCGGAGCCCAGCGGGGTGCAGGGCGAGTGCTCGTTGCTGGCCATCTCCACCCCGGAGTCCTCCGACTCGGACTTGAGGAGTCTCCCGCCGGCCGGGGGGCTGCTGGGGGGCCTCGGGGGGGGTCCCCGGGTGCTCATGCCCCGCGGGGGCTGCCGCGGGCTCTCCTGCAGCCGGCGGTAGACGCTGGCGGAGGTGCGCACGATGCAGCTCTCGGCCGTCTCCCAGGGACCATCTGCGGGGCGAGGGAGGATGAGGGGGGGGGTCTCAGCTGGAGGGTCCCCGGATGCAGAACAGGGTGTCCACCCCTCACACATGAACCCACCACCCTCCCAGTTCTCCCCCACCCCCCCCCGGGCTGCTGCACAGCAGCTCCAGCCGTGCCCAGGCCACTCTCCCTGTTGCCACGGGGGGGGTTACAGCCCCCCCCCACCCCCTGAGACCCCTCTCCAGAGGGTCCCCACAGCCAGAGATGTTCCTACAACCGCAGTGCGTTGTCGCTGCTTCCCAAAAACACAGCCATGGCCTCCGCCATCCTCCTCCTAAGCCGCGCTGCTGAGCTGCTGGGGGGCGGAGGGGGGACACACATGACCCCCACCCCGACCTGGCTGCTCTCCCTGTATCCCACTCTGGCCCGGTGCCAACAATCCAGGCCACAGTGTGGGATCCCAGACACCTGATGGGTCCAGAGACCACCAGCTCCTCACACTTCTCCCCACAGGAAAGGAGGGGGACATCACCAGCCGGGATATGCCCCCCCCACACCACCCCGCAGATCCAGGTGGGATCACGGCACATCAACGGGGGGGGTCTCAGCATTCCTTTCACCCCTCCCTCCCCAGACAGGCCACAGCAAAGGCCTCGGGGAGGTGGGAGCGAAGCTTTGGCACCTCCTGGGAGTCGCCCACCCCCCCAGGAAGCCCCCCTGGGATCTGACACCCCCCAAACACACTCACAGCAGCTGAACCTCCTCTTCCAGACGGCGCGGGAGCCCCCCCACATCGCCGGGAGCCGGAGCTGAGAGCCGGGTGCGCGTCCCGGCGCTCCCTTTTATAGCAACCCCAGCCGGAGACGGGCCCTGTATCCAGAGGCACCTCATTACGGGACTGGTTCCCAACTGGTTCCTCGCAGGGTTTGGGATCGGTGATACTGGCTGGGCCAGTGGTTAAGGGCTCCCTTCCCACCCCAGCCGCGGTGTTTGGGCACCGGCAGGCAGCCAGGAGCCGGGGGAATCCCACCAAATTCCAGGGAACTCACTCAGGAACTCCGGCTTGGGGTGAGTTCACCCATCAGGGGTCCCGGTACCCCTGAATTCCCGCAGCCACACCACTCACCGGGCACCCCTTGGGGGCTGGAGAGGCCGGGCCCGGGACAATCTGACCGTTCAGCAGGATTGAATCCCAGCAATCCCGTGGGGGAGCCCGTCCACCCCAGCAGGATTGAATCCCAGGAATCCCGGGGGGCAGCCCCTCCACCCCGGCTCGGTGGCTGCCAACATCCCAGCTCCCACACGCCGCGTTCCCGCGGGCTGCCGGACCCCACACGCCAAGGGGCTGCTCCCCCTCCACCACGGGGGTGGCACCAGAGCCCCACCGGGGTGGGGGGCACAGGTAGGGACGTGGGGGGACCCCCATCACCTCCTCCTGGGTTGGCAGCTCCAGCCCAGCTGGATCCTGGATCCCCCCGGTGCTTTCCGGCTGTTGCTGCTGGAGCAGGGGGGTCCCAGCACAGGCAGAGTCAGGGGGGCACATAGAGATGGGCCCCGGGTTTTGGGGACCCCCACAGTGCTCAGTGGGCTCCGGGTGCAGGAACAGGCCCGTCAGCCTAAACACGGGAAGGGAAAAACCTGAATTCCCAGCACAGCCAGTACCCTTGGCCACTCCCAGCAGGGAGGGGGATGAAAACGAGGGGTCCAGGGACCCTCTGCAGCACAGAGACCACGAACTGGGGGGTGCCGAGGACCCCCAGCTTCCCTCTGCAGCACAAACAGCACTGACGGGGGGTGCCAGGGACCCCCAGGTTCCCTCTGCAGCACAGACACCCCAAACCAGGGATCCCTGAGGATCCCTTCCAGCAGGAACTTCACAGGCTGGAGACACCGGGGGCCCCCTCCAGCTACGGGAGGGGGGTCCCCCCTGACCCCAGGGGCCACCGACTCACCGCCGTCATGGAGCGGCTCCACGCTGAAGGCTCCGCGCCGGCGCAGCATCCCCGGGAACTGGGAGAGACTGGGAACGGGGTACGGGCAGCTGGGAACGGTCAGAGGGAGGGGAACCGAGATCCGGGAGTGCCGGGAACAGGGCAGAGAAAAACCGGGAATGGGGAAGCGGGTGCGGGAGCCGGGCAGGGAGCACTGGGAACTGGGAACCGGGCAGAGGAGAAACAGGAACCGGGAGCCGGGCAGGGAGCGGCGGGGCTCGTCCTCCGCCGCTTTATGGGGCAGGGCTGGGGGGGGCACAGCCCCGGGGCGGGGCGGGGCGGGGGTGGGGGGGCCGCCCCCAGCCCGGGCAGCCCCTTTGCCCCCAGCCCCACCTGTTCTACCCCAGCAGGGCTCAAAGCGTTTATTCCTCTTTTTTTTTTCATCCCGCGTGCCGAGGGCGGGAGAGGGGCAGGACCATCATCATCATCATCCTCCCTCCCTGGGGGTCCTAGAGAGTCACGGAATGGTTTGGGTGCAAAGCGACCTTAAAGACCATCCAGTCCCACCCCCTGCCATGGGCAGGGACACCTTCCACTAGCCCAGGTTGCTCCAACCCGGCCTTGGACACTCCCAGGGATGGGGCAGCCACAGCTTCTCTGGGATGTTTAATCGGGAATTCCACGGTGAGAGCTCCATGGACGGGCCCAGGGGCACACGAGGGGCTATGGTGCACCCCAAACAGACCCCAGGCAAGAGGGGAGGGGGCTCCTGGCTGTCCCCAGGACAGGGGAAGGAGCTGGTTCCCTCCCGGGAATCCCAGATAACAGCAAAGACCATCTCGGTGCAAACAGGCCCGGAGGGTGGGGAGCAGAGATAAGAGCCCACCTGGGCCCCTGCAGGACAAAGGGCTCGGCCAACAGCCCCCAATAAACCCCGACACCTCCCAGGGACACCACCGGGAGCAGGGAGGGGACATCCAGCCCCACGGGGAGCCCTGACCTTCCCAGGAGCACCACAAGGCCAGCTGGGATGTCACTGGAGAGCCCGGGATGTGCCATGGGATGTGCCACGGAGGCTTGCCCAGCCCTGGACCCCCACCCTGGGTGCAGGCAGGAGGGCTGGAGGGTCTGGGGTCCCCGCCTGCACCCTGGGATTTGGGAGGGGGACCCACCTTGCCCCCGCCCTGGGGCCCCAGCACAGAGCAGACACGGGAGTGGAGCAAATATATATTATATTTATATATAATCTGGTTTAATACCTTGTTGCAGTCAGTGTACAAGCGGTGCCAGCCCTTCTCTGGCACCCAAGTGCTCAAGCATCCCTGTGACACCCCCCCCAAAGTCCTCCCTCCCCAGTGTCACCCCCATGTCCCCCACTGCTGCAGCCCAGGCCGAGAACTAACCCAGCTCATCACGCAGACTGTGAAGGCTGCAGTGCATCCCTCCCCAAAAATCCCGGCTGTCCCGAGCCTGGTGGTGCCCTCAGCCCCCCCAGGACACCCCCAACGCCAGTGGGGCTGGTGGGGGCAGGGGGCTGACCCCGGGCCCCGGGGCGGGATCCTGTGGCTCAGGAGTGGGGGGACACGGGCGGGGGGGACACGGGCGCCCCCGGGGGGCCCTGGTAGCGCAGGCGGGCGTGTTTCTCGCAGAACAGCTCGTCGCCCACCCAGAAGTGGCCCCTCATCTTGAGGTTGAGGCCGCAGTCGGCGCAGCTGTAGCAGGACGGGTGCCGGTACCGCCCGTCCTGGATCCGCACCGCCTGAGTGCTGGGGGGACCCCGGGAGGGGGCGTCAGCGGGGCTCCCTCCGTGTCCCCCCGGGTCCCCTCCCGCCCCACCGCGGCCCCGGAGCGGTGGCAGGGCGGGGCTCTGCCCGGGGATTCCGTCCCCGCTCCCATCCCAGGGTCAGCCCCGTTTGTTCCCTGCTTGGAGCAGTGACAGGGATGGGTCCTGCCCCGGGACATCCCTGCCCTGGGACACCCCAAGCCCCACTCCTGCCCCAAGGATCAGCCCCATTCTATCCCTGACAGGAGCAATGACAGGGACAGATCCTGCCCCGGGACCACCCAAGCCTCACTCACAGCCCAGGATCAGCCCCATTCTATCCCTGACAGGAGCAACGACAGGGACAGATCCTGCCCCGGGACCACCCAAGCCCCCAGCCCCGCTCCTGCCCCAGGATCAGCCCCGTTTTATCCCTGACAGGAGCAATGACAGATCCTGCCCCAGGACCTCCCCCAACATCACTCACAGCCCAGGATCAGCCCCGCTTTGGCCCTGTGGGAGCGACGGCAGCGACAGATCCTGTCCAGGGACCTCCCAAGCCCCCAGCCCCACTCCTGCCCCAGGATCAGCCCCACTTTATCCCTGACAGAAGCAACGACAGGGACAGATCCTGCCCCGGGGTCCGCCCAGCCCCAAGACCAGCCCGTTTTTGGCTTTGCCAGGAGGGACGGCAGGCACGGACCCTGCCCCGGGACCCCCCCCCAGCCCCACTCACGCGATGCTGCTCCCGCACTTCTCGCAGACGTGCAGCTTCTGGACCCCGGCCACGGGTTTGCGGGCGCTGGACGAGAGCCGGCTGCGGAAGGGGGCTGTGGGACCACCTGTGGGGGGGGAAAACGGGGCCATCAGGGTCCTGCCGCCCCCCTGCCGGACCCCCCGCCTCCCCCCGCGCCCCCGTCACCTCCTCCCTCGTCCTCCAGCGCCTCCTGGAGCAGGCGGAAGGTGCTGGATTGCCGCGGGGCCGCCCGCAGCTCCCGGTTCTCCTGCAGCATCTTGTAGACCTCCGAGTCCTCCTCCAAGCGCCTCATGGCCGGCTCCGAGCCCTGGCTGTGGGACGGCACCCCAAGGGGGAGATGTCTGGAGGGGGGTGGGTTTGACAGCACCCAAATTCCGGGATCCACCCTCTGCACCCCCTTCACAACCCGCCTGCCACCTGATCCCTCCCCCCCGGGAGCTGCCCCGGCCTGCCCGGCCCTGCCTCGGCCCCACCTGCCTCGCAGGTGAGTTAACCCTTTCCACGGGCTCCCTCGGCACCCGTGGGTGCCAAACCACCACGCCAGGGCGGGGTTTGGGGCTGCCCTGTGTCCTGTTCCCCCCCCCTCCCCAGCCCCACTCCGTACCTGTTGCAGGTGCTGGGAGAGAGGGAAGGGCGACGCTCCCTCTGTGTCTCCCAGGGGTTTTGGGGGGCTCCAAACCCCGGTGAGGGTGGGCAGGGGGGTGGAGGCAGGATGGATCCCTGGCAGCTGTTCTGGCGGGTCAGGATTCCTCGCTCCTGGCAGGGGGAGAGAGGTGAAGGGTCTCCTGGGGGGCTCAGGGGGTCAGGCTGGGGTGGCCCCCAAAACGGCCTGAGCATCCTGGCAGGGTGCCCACAGACCCTCCCTCTCCCCCCGGGGGCACTTGGACCAGGCCCAGAGGGGCTTTTCTCGAGCCCTTGTCTCAGGAGGACGCAGGGATGCTCCGTGGGGCAGCTGCTTCCCCTCCCCGAGCCTGGCTGGGGTCAGCAGGACCCCCGGGGGGGGCCAGGGCAGCACCCCCACCCCATAACCCAACCCCTGCGCCTGCGCCCGTCCCCTCCCCACCATCTGCTCCTGCTTAGCGGGCCCGGCGAGGCAGGAAAGAGGAACCCTGGATAAGTGGAAGCTGATGTTCCCGGGAGCGGCCGCCACGCAGACGGGAACACCAGGGGGACCCCAGGATGGGGACAGGGACCGCCCCCCCCAGATCCATGGAGAGGGAGAGGGGAGCAGCCCCGGGGTTCTGTGGGGTCACGAGGAGATGAGGGACGAGCTAAAATTAGGCGCGGGAGGAGCCGGGCGCCTTGGCCTCGTCCCCGCCGGGATCCAGTGCCAACCCACCCTGGGATGGGGGGAAGATCGGGATCCACGGGCAGCCCTTCCCCCCGGCTCCCCTTTGAGCATCTTCACGGCCCCGTTTTTGGGGGGCTCCGGGCAGAAAGGGACACTCTGGGACAGGGAGGGACCCTCGGGGCAGGGAGGGACCCTCCGGGGCAGGGAGGGACCCTCCAGGGCCAAAGCAAACACGGAGCTGGGGAGGAAGGAGGGAGCGGGCGGCCGGAGGAGCCAAGGGGCGGCCGGGGCTGCGGCCAAAGGCAGCCGGGAAGGGCCGCGCTCCGGGACCACGGCGCTTCCCAATTTGGGCTTGGAAAACAAGAAAAAGAGAAAGCAGGGAGGGGAGCAGAGGAGGGAGACGCCAAGCCCGGAGCCAGCGGCTGCCCGCGGGGATGGACGGGGTGGCCACGGGCATCCTGCGGCTGATCCGGGGGGTGGAGGAGGAGGAGGAGGAGGCATCCAGCTCCCAGGCATCCCGGCCCCTCTCCCGGGGCATCCCACCGGGCCGGGGGTGCGCCGGGCCGTGGGTCCCTGCCCGGCCAACACCCCAGTGCCCCGGGCTGGCGGGACTGGGGCTGGGCCTCCCCAAACTGGTTTGGCCTCCCCAGGCTGGCGCCGCTGCCAAGAGGAGCAAAACATCCCTGGGCAGGTGCCGGTGCCCGCGGGTCTGGGGGTGCTGCCAGGGCGGCGGGGAGGGGGCACCAGAGGGGAGGGGGACACCGGCTGTCCCCGAGGGAGAGCAGGGCTGGGCAGTGATGTGGCCAGGGGGCTGCAAATGGGGGTGATTTGGGGGCTCAAGGGGGGGTGATTTGGGGCTCAAAAGTGGGATGATTTGGGTTTGCAAAGGGGGATGGTTTGGGGGTCCAAAGGGGGTGATTTCGGGCTCAAAAGTGGGATGGTTTGGGGGCTCGAAGGGCAGTGCTTTGGGGGTTCAAAGTGGGGTGCCTTGGGTTTGCAAAGGGGAGTGGTTTTGGGGCTCAAAGGGTGACGATTTCAGGGCTCAAAGGACATGGCTCGGGTTTGCAAAGGGGAGTGGTTTTGGGGTCAAAGGGTGTTGATTTCAGGGCTCAAAGGGCATGGCTTGGGTGTGCAAGGAGGGTGGTTTGGGGGTTCAAAGGGAGGTGGTTTGGGGCTGAAAAGGGGGAAGGTTTAGTGTCACAAAAGCTGACGTTTCACAGATGCCCCCCCTCCAGCACCTCTGCCTGCCCCCCTGCAGCCCCCCAGCTCCCCACTCACCCGACACAAGTTGGGACGGGCGAACTCCTCCTCCAGGGATTGGGAGCTGTGGGGAGACAATGAAGCCATCAGGGGGGTCCCTGGCCCTCCCCAGCCCCCTGCCCACCCCCCAGCCCCACACACAGCTGGGTCCAGCCTTACCTGGCACTGTGGGGCAGGTGGATGGGGGATGCCAGGCTGGGGTCGGGGGCTCTCAGGGCACCCTGGCTCTCATCCCGCGTCCTCAGCGTGTCCTGGGGAGGGGAGGGTGACACCAGCAGCTGCCACCAGCCCTGGGTGGGGGGACAGGGTGTGCTGGGGCTCACCTGGACACGTGTGGCCAACCTCTCCAGTGAGGCATCCCCGTTGGCGTGGCTGGGAGGTGGCATCGGGGACCTGGGGACCAAGGGGGAGCGGGGAGGGTCTGGAATGTGCCCCAGGAGTGCTCAGCCCCTGCTCCTGACCGCTCCTCCCAGCCCCCCCAGGAGGTGGGGAGAGGCACCAACTGGGCCCCCAACTGGGACCAGTCGGCCAGGGAACGGCTGCCAGCACTGCCTGGCCTCGTTAGCACCTGACTCCTTAATTAGAGAGCCGAGCCAGACTCCCGGGAGGATGGGGGGACGGGACAGCCCCAGGAGTCGCCCGAGGGGAAAAACAGCCAGCACACACTTGGCTGGGGACCCCAACCCACGTGGGGACACCCCCGGCACCCAGCTCCAGCTCAGGGCTGCCCACTCCCCCAGCACCCACCTCTCCACCTCCAGCCGGAGCTGCCCAGGGCTCTGCTTGATCTTGTTCTGGGCCTCCACGTGCAGCATCTCGGCCGCGCTCTCCCCGTTGATGGTGACAATGACATCCCCCACCCGGAGGTCGCCCGCAGCCGCCTTCCCATGCTCTGTCACCTCCATGGAGAAGAAAGGGGACGTGGGGACAGCCCCAGTGAGCCCCCTCACACCCACCCCCACGCTCAGCCCTCGACCCCCGAATCCCGGTGGCTCCCACCCGCCGGAATCCCCACGGCCTGGACAAGAACAGCACCAGACCCTCTGCCAGGGTGGGAGCACGGCCCTGGAAACAACACCCGGAAGCTTGGCACGGCCCTGCCCAGCCCAGGGGGGGGGTGGCACGGGGCCCCCGCGCCGCCGTCGCCCGCCGTGGGCCGTTCCCACGGAGCGGGATCCCCCAAGGACAAGCAAACAGGATCCTCTCCCCGGAGCAGCCCGGCACGGCGCCCGCCCGGCGGCCTCCCCCCGGCCCCGGGGGGCACGTGGTGGTGGTGGTGGTGATGGGTGGGGGGGTCCTACCTTGGAGACAGTGATGGGCTTCCCGAAATCTCGTCCCCCGGAGATGCGGAAGCCCCACGGGGCCGGGCCGGGCAGGGTCACGGTCACTGGCATGGCAGCGGGTGGCTCTGGGCGGGCAGGAGGGCGCTGTCAGGGATTCCAGGCACTCAGGCAGAGGGTACCCCCCTCCTCCCACCCACAGCCCACCCAACGGGGGCCTCCCTGTCCTGGCTGCACCCCGAGCAGGGGGTGATGGAAACCAGGGGGTGATGGAAACCGGCAGCGCTTTCCTTCCGGGGAGGGGACCCGCGTCCCCGCAGGGTGTCAGCAGCCGCCGCCGCTTCCTCTTGCTGCCCCAAGGCTGGTGGCTTCCTCCCCCCGGAGCACGGGGGTCCCAGGCAGCCGTTGGCGCAGCTGAGGCAGCCAAGGTCATTCCCAGGGGCTGGAGCGAGGCAGGGAATCAGCGACGCCTTGGCAGCAAGGCCAACGCCGCAGCGCGGCAGGGCCAAGCCAGCGGGGTTTGGAGGGGAGGATGTGGTGATCCTGCTGCTCACCACGGGGGGGTCTGGCACCCGGCGAGGACCACCACCCCCAGTCCTTCATCCTGCAGCCAATCCAGAGCAGTAAAGGGTGCTGAGTATCCCCCGGGGGTGTCCCATGGCACAGCAGCTCCTGGCTTTGAGGGGATGGGTGGGAACGGGCAGCCCCATCCCCTAAATCTACACCAGATCCCATCCCATCCCGCCACAGCCTGGCTGAGCTCCTCAGAGCCCCGGGAGAGCTGGATACCCCGTCTGGAACCGGGCATCCCGTCCGGAACCGGGCACCTCGTCCGCAGCCGCCGGGAAGGCATGTTAAAAATCCCAAGCGCACAAAGAGGGGCTTGAGAGGCTGCCCGGAAGAATTTCCTGGGCTGGGCTTCCAGTGCCGGGAGGAAACCCCAAACCCCAAACCCCCTCCCCATGCCCGGCCCCGCTCAGCATCCCTGGGCAGCGAGGGCTGCTGGCCTGGCGACCCCCACACCCGGCTGGGCACCAACCCCAGACCCCCGAAGGGTCCTGCACCCCTTCTCCATCCCCTGCACTCCTCCTTCGTGTCCTGCACCCCTTCCCCATCCCCTGCTCCCCTCCTCTGTCCCCTGATCCCCCTTCGGTCCCCCGCACCCCACCTGTGTCCCCGCTCCCTCCGGGCTCTGTCCCCGTCGCACAGCGACGTCTTTGTGCCCGCGGCGACTGGCGGTGCCGCCTGGCACCCGCGGGGCGAGCGGCGGGGACGGGCGATGCCAGAGGAGGCTCTGGGGACGTGGGGACACAGGGGCGTGGGGACACGGGGACGTGGCGACACAGGGACGTGGGGATTTGGGCTATGGGGACACTGGGATTTGGGGGACGTGAATACCGGGGGATGTGGGAGGACGGGCTGCCCGCAGCCCCCCTCCCCTGCGCGGCGGAGCAGCACCCCCGGGACCCCCGGGCACCGCGACCCCCGAAGGAAGGGCACCCCCGACAACCGCAGCGGGCGCTCGCCGGTCCCCCCGCATCCCGCGGTGCCCCCCAAACCCCCCGTGCCCCCCGCACCGCCGGTACCCCCCCCGCACTCACCGGGGCGGCCGAGCCGGGCGGCCCCGCGGGGCTGCGGAGCCGAGCGCGGCCCCGGGACGGCACCGCCTCCTCGGGAGGAGTCGGGCCGGGCCGGGCCGGGGCGGGCTGCGGGCACGGCCCCCCCCCGCCCCGACGGGGCGCACGGCGGCGGCTGGTCCCGCCCCGGCACCGCCCGTGGGCGTGGGGGGATCCCCGCGGCCCCCACGCGGCGTCCCGCGGGACCCCCCCCCCGCCCCGCCGGCCCCTCCCCGAATCCCGGCACGCCCCGACTCGGGCTGAGCTGAGCTTTTAATGATGGACGAGAAGCAAAGGCGACTCCCGGACGCCGACCCGCATCCCGGGTCGCGGCCGTCATGGTCAGGCCCGGCACCGGCGGACCCCCGGGGCGACCCCCGGGGCGGCGGGCACCGGGCAGCGGTGAGGAGGGGGCGTGTTAAGGCACTGGGGTGGGGGAGACCCCCCGCGCTGGGGGGATTTGTCCCTGTTAAGAGGCAGCCCCATAGGGGCGGGAGGGAGCTGGAGGCGCTTCATCCCCGCGGAGGGGACACTGCGGGGACACGGCGTGGCCGAGGTGGGGCAGCGGGGCGAGCCCCCCGGCCCCGTCCCTCGCGTCCCCCGCCGCGGCCGCGGGTCACACCGGCGCCACGTAATTCCCGGGGAAAGTGCCGAATTTCTGCGTCCTCCTGGACACGCCTGCGGGGGGGGGGGAACAAAAGGCACGGGGTGAGGCGGTGAGGGGTCGCGGCGGCACCTTGTCCCTGCCCCCGTCTCCCGGTGGGCACACGCACCCACGAACCAGCCGTCGTCGCACTGCTGCATGACGTCCACGCGGTCCCCCTCCAGCAGCTCCAGCTCGTCGGCGTTTTGGGGCCGGTACTGGTAGAGCGCCCGGTACCTGCGAGACACGGCGTGGCCAGAGCCCACCCCCCCCAACACGGGGAGGGGGGGACACGGCGCCGCGGGGACGCTCCCGGCCCTACTTACGGGGTCCACCGGATTTCGGAGCCGTTGTAGGACGGGGCGGGCTCGGGGCGGGCGCTGGTGGGTACCCCTGGGGTCGCACGCTGCGGGGGCAGAGAGAGGGTGGGTGCAGCGTTCGGGGCGTCACCCAGGGCTGGGGGCACGATGCCAGGGCGGGGGGGGGGGGGGCCCACCTGCCCGGGGGGCCCGGCTGGGCGCCGCGGCTCCTGGTGGGGGTGGGCGGCCGCGGGCTGGGGGGGGGTGGGAGAGGCCGGGGGGGGGGGGGGGGGGCCAGGGGGGGGCAGCTTCGGGGGGGGGGGGAAGGCGGCGCCGAGGTGCCCACCCGCGACCCCGGGACGCCGCTCCGCCGCCCGGGGGGAGCCGGTGGGGTTCTGGGGGACGCGGGGAGCGGGCGAGCGCTGCAGGGACGGGGACATGGCGGGGGTGGGCGAGGGGGGGATGTCCTCGGCGGTGGCCTTGACCCGCGGCTCCTTCAGCACCTGGACGTAGGTGGCGGGGAAGATGCCCTGGCGGCTGGTGCCCGAGATCCGCCCCTCGTACCAGTTCTCGTCCACTCGCCGCACCAGGCAGATCCGCTCGCCCTGAGGCGGGGAGGAGAGGTGGGGTCAGCGCGGGATGGCCGGGAAACAGCCCGGAGTGGCACGGGGGGGAGGCACGGGGCGGGCACCTTGCGGAAGGAGAGCTCGACGTGCAGCTCCCCTCGGAAGTTGTAGAGCGCCAGCGCCTCGCCGTGCTCCAGCACCTGGATGGTGGGCGCCTTGATGGGCTTGGGCACCTCCGTGGGGGGCAGGATCTGGGTGGGACACAGGGGTGAGGGGCGGTGCCAGGTTCCTCCAACCCCGCTGCCCCCCCTGTGCCCCCCCCGGGCTCACCTCCACGTAGTTGGAGGGGAAGATGCCCACCCGGCCGTGGTGCTCGCCCTCCAGCCAGTTCCTGTCCACCTCCTTGTGGATGTAGACGATGTCCCCCTTCTGCAGCGTCAGCTCCCTGCAGGGGACAGTGCTCACACCTGTCTGGGGGGGCACTGACCCGTCCCCAGCCCAGCTGGCAGGGCCACCCCACATCCAGGGGCTTGGGGGAGACCCCAGGAGTGACCCCCCCAGCAGCACCAGCACTTACTTGGGAGACTCGGCTTGGAAGTTGAACTTGAGGCGAGCAGCTTTCATCTGGGGAGGGAGAGGAGTGGTTACAGGGAGACCCCCCCCATCCCAGCCACCCCAAACCCCACAGGGGATGGTCCCATCCCGGCCTCACCTTCTTCTCCTCCCTCCTGATGGTCTCGGCGGGATCTCCCAGGTCGGGCAGGCTGGGGAGGGTCCCTGGCCTGAGGGTGTCTGCAAAGAGAGGGGTGTCACCAGCTGGTGGGGGTGTGGGGTGCCCCATGGCTTGGGGAGGGTCTGGGGGGCTCAGGGGGGCTCGGGGGCTCACCTCTGCCGGGGGCTGCACGGTTCCGGTCACTGGCCAGCCCCAGGACACCCCTCTCCATGCCGGGGCTGGCGGGGGAGCGCTGGGTGCCGGGGGGGCTCCGCAGTGGGTGGGGTGACAGGGGGCTCCTGTGGGGTCACAGGAGCTCAGGGCTCACATTCAGCCCTGTTGTCATGAACCCTCCCTGCCCCAACCCTGCTGTCCTCGGAGAGGGCAGGACCCCTGAGTCCCATGGACCAGGATGTCAGGGACATCCAGGACCTGTGTATCCCATGGATCAGGACCCCTGGGTCCCATGGATGAGGATATCAGGGTCCCTCAGGACCCCTGTATCCCATGGATCAGGATCCCTGGGTTGCATGGACCAGGATGCCAGGGTACCCCAGGGCAGGATCCCTGAATTCCATGGACTAGAACCCCTGGTACCCCAAAACAGAGGTACCAGGATGCCAAAGTTCCCCGGGAGCAGGATCCTTGGGTCCCCAAAACCCGGGATGCTTGAGTCCCCCACGACCAGGATCCCTGAGTTCCACAGAGCAGAACCCCTGGGTACCCCAATACCGGGACGCTGGGGTCCCCCAGGACCAGGACACCGGGGTGCCCTGTGTGCATCCCTCCAGGATCCCATCCCACAGGCAGCCAAGCGGGACAGGTCCAAAGTTTTCCGGCAGTGCCAGAGGCACGTCCCTGCTGGTGCCGAGCAGGAAGTGCGGAGCAGGCGAGCGCCGGGGAGGGCGGCCTGGCTAATGGATAACCCCACTGCGGGGGGCACTTAAAGAGCCCAAAATGCCCCCACAGGCCAGAGGAGGGGTTGGAGAGCGGGCAGCCACTCCCCCCGTGCGCCCCTGGGGGTTACAGCAGGTCCTACAAGAAGCGGAGCTGCTGTTTGTTTGTTTTCCTCCCGCTGCCGGGGCTGAGACGGCTCCGCGGGGACACCCCCGGGGTGCCCAGCACGTCTCAGGGTACCGACCCCAACCGGGGGTGCCCCGGCACCCTCCGGCACGGCTGTCCCCTCCCTGTGCCCGTGGGGACGCGGGGACACGGCGGTGGGAATCCGGGCGCCGTCACCTCCCCTGGGACGGAGCCAAACGCCGGGACACGGCGTCCCGGGGACGGGGGAAAGGGTCAGCCCCGCTCCGGCCCCGTCCCACCCACCGGGCAGCCGGCCCGGCGCCGGGGCCCCCACCCGTGCCGGGGCGTGGGGGGGGACGAGGGGACCAGCGCTGCCACGGGGGGTCCGTGGGGATCCACGGGAATCCCAAGGGGGATGTCGGGAGGCTCCCACCCCGCCGCGACGCTGGAGGGACAGCCCGCTGACCACCCCCGGAGTGGGGTCCTGCCCCCCGCCTCGAGTGGGGTCCGGGCAGGGGGATTTGGGGGTCCGGGGCGCGGGAGCAGCCGCGGAACTCACCGAGCAGCCGGGGAGGCCGGAGCAGGGGAGCGAGCGGTGGGAGCAGCCGCCGGGCTCTGCCGGGAGGAGCGGGAGGGGGTGGGAGAGAAAAATTAATCATCCAGGAGGCCGAGTCTCGGCGGGAAGCGAAGGAGTCCAGCCCGGCTGCGCCAATAACCGCCGGACAGACGGACGGGCTGGGTCCTAGAGTCCCGCGGCCACGGCTCGGGGCCGCCGAGGAGCCGTGCGTGGAGCCAGATGTGCCCGGGGCCCAGATGTGCACGGAGCCGGATGGGTGGGCACCGAGTTGTGCACACACCCAGCTGTGCGTGCGTTCATCCAGATGTGCAGGCTGTGCATTCACGCAGTCATGCAGGGATGCTCCCAAGCCATGCATGCATCCAGATGTGCATGAATCCAGCCATGCACACACCAAGCCATGCATGCATCCAGATGTGCATGAATCTGGCCATGCACACACCCAGCCATGCATTCATCCAGATGTGCATGAATCTGGCCATGAATTCATCCAGATGTGCATGAATCCAGCCATGCACTCACCCAGCCATGCATTCATCCAGATGTGCATGAATCTGGCCATGCATTCACCCAGCCACACGTGCATCCAGATGTGCGCACATCCAGCCCTGTGTCCGACCACCAGCCTTGCACAAAGGCTGTGCCCACAGCTGGATGTGCCCACAGCTGGATGTGCCCACAGCTGGATGGATGCACACCCCATCAGCCCTTCTTGGGGGGGGACAAGGGGCAGCTGACAGGGGGTCTGGGGTACCTGGCGGGGGGTCCGGCACGTTTCCATCTTCCTCATGTCCTTGTCCAGCTCCTCGCTGAGCTGCTCCAGCTCCTGCTCCAGCAGCACCTGCACGGGGAGGGTGGGGCTGTGGCGGGCCAGGCTGGCACTGCCCGTGGCCACCAGGAGCCCCACTGCCACCCCCAGCCCCCTGCCCTCCACCACCACCTCACCTCGATGGACTGAGCCCGCCGTGCCGCTCCTGGGGGCTGGAAAGGGCAAGGGGCCAGTTAGGTGTGTGCCCACCACGGTGCCCACCACAATCCCTCCCTGCCAGGACCTCCCTACCTGCTCCAGGGGCGAGAATTTCCCCGGTTCATAGTCAAAAATGCTGCCGGGCTCCGCGGTGGCACCGGTGTCACCCCAGCGCGTCCTGAGGGGAGGCGGGAGGGTTTCAGCCCCCGCAGCCCCTCCACCCCACGGGCACCCACGTCCCTGTGCCACACTCACCAGTCCGTCCCGTTGGGCATCCCGGGGGGCTCAGCCGGTGCCGAGCCCCTCCTGCGCGGTTTGGGGGGTGATGGAGGCGCCGTGGCGGGGCAGGGGTGGGTGTCCCATTCGGGCTCTGAGGATGGAGGGGGTGAGCACGGTGCCACGCTGTGCCACGCCGTGCCATGCAGTGCCACGCCGTGCCACGCCTGCACACCCGGGCTCACCTGGCAGCTTGCGGTGGATCTGCCGGAACATGCTGCGGTACCAGTCCCGGGGGCTGTCGACGCTCTGCGGGGACACATTGGGGTGGTGAGGGGACAACAGGGGGGTGGCAGCCCGGCCCTGCGCCCCGACTCACCGAGCGGGAGGCGATGGGCATCCCCGTCTCGTCCACTGGCCCGATGCCGTCGTACTTCACCCAGCGCCGCTCCCGCCGCTTGCTGTCCTTGGTCCAGGTGGCCGACCAGCCCGGGGGGCACGGGCGGGTGGGGGCGGCCCTGGGGGTGGGTGTGGGGCCGGCGGGCACTGTGGTGTTGGGGGCTTTCACCTCCTTGGCCGGCCAGGTCTGGTACCACTCGTTCACTGGGGGCAAGGCAGGCATTGCTCAGGGGGGGAATCGCTCATGGGGGGCATCGCTGGGGGGGAGCCCGTGGGGGTGTCCTCGGGGGTGCTCAGGGCTGTACCTGAGTTCTTGGGCTCCGAAATCTTGGGCTCTGAGTCATGGAAGTGGAAGTTGAGGGTGTTGGAGCCGCGGTGGCGGATGATGGGCACCTGCGGCACAAGGAGGGGCTGGCGTGGGGTTGGGGGGGCAAAGGGAGGGACAGAGGGGTGCAGCCCCCAAAAAATCCCCCACATGCAGCAGCCCCCAGCCCCACTCACCCGTGTCACCGTGTGCTGGGGGGGCACCTGCAGGGGTGGGTGGAAGGAGGGGACATCCTGGACAGTCAGAGCCTGGTTGGTATCCGAGGGCAGGAGCCGCCCTGCCATGGCCAGGGGGTGCTGGGGTGGTGCCCCAGGGCTGCCCGTGTCCTATGAGGAAAGTGGTTTTGCTCATGGGAGGGGCTCATGTCCCTGTTCTTGGGCTTGGCTGGAGAGCTGGCAGCTCCATCCCAGCTCCATCCCCACGGCCAGGAGGGTGACAACCACCACAGTGGGGTGACAACCGCGGTGGCACCGTCCCCAGCTCAGGGAGTCTCACAGTGCCACGGGAAGCAGCTGTTCCCGGTTGGAACCAGCCCTGGCAGGGCTCCCCAACGTGTTCTCCATGCGGATCCAGACCCCTCTCCCGCCCCTGTCCCCACCCCGGCTCTTGCAGGGATGGATCCAGCCCGGCTTTCTCTTCGGGGAGAACACGCCCGGAGCGGGTCGGGGCGATGGCTGTGCCGTGTTCCCATCACCTTGGCATCCCGGCGCGGTGCCCTCTCGCCCGGGCACGTGGCGGCAGCAGCGTCGCCCGCCCGGGAGAGCTGCCAGGGCCGGCAAACACGACAGGGCAGAAATATTTCCCCCGCCCTGCAGCGCAAACAGGGAGGGAGAGGGGACCGAGAGGGGACGAGGCGTCGGGAACGCGCGGCCGGGCCCCGGCACCGCCCGCCGGGAGGGCAGCGCCCGTGACTCACCACGGCACGGGATGGGATGGGGGGCGGCTGGGGGGGTCGGGACCCCCGGAGCGGCTCCCGGCACCGGGATGGCTCCAGGGGCGAGCGCAGCCCCGGGACGGGGCGGGTCACCTGTGCCCTGGCTCGTCCCCATACCAGTCATCGCCCCAGCGCTCACAGGTGCCCACCACGGCCAGACCCCCCCCCCAAACAGCCTGGGGGGCTGCCGGGGGGGTGCCAGCCCGGCACGGTGCCCTGTGCGTGTGGAACCCTCAGCTCGGGCTGGGGACCCCTCAGCTCCTTGCTCCCCACACCGCCGGTGTCCTCGCAGCCCCAAGGGTGTAATTAATGTTAATCACCCCCCTCCCCGGAGGGAAACAGGTGCTGGGAATGACGTGCCCCAGGGGATAGAAAGCGGGGTGCAGACTCTCACCCCCCAGGGCACCCCAACAACCTCCACCCCATTCCCAGCGCAGCACCCACACGGGGCTCGGCCCCATCCTGCCCCCAAAACCTGGCCCCGGGGGGGGTCCCCTCCTCGCCGGCCCCCCCCCAGCCAGCTCTTACCTCCTGGGTGGTGCCGGCGGGGACCCCCGGGGAGCGCCGGGGTTTTGGGGAGCCCCGGGGCGAGCGGGACGGAGCTGCGAGAGGCAGGGAAGAGAAATCCACGGCACGAACTTTGCCGGGAGAAGTAGCTGGTGTGTCGGGGGGGGCTCAGCGCATCGCGGGGGGCTGGCAGGGACAGCGTCCCCCCCCCGAGCATCCCCCGGGTGGGTCAGGAGCCACCGTCCTCCCCGGCGCTGGGTCCCCGTGTGCCCCGGCCCCCCCTGGGGTGCGCTGCTCCGTCCCCCCCGAGCGGGGCCGGCCCATTCAGAGTTTCCAGTGACATTTCCAGGGATGAGATCCAGGGAACGGAGCCAGGAGGCTGAACTCATCCCACGCCCCGCGCACGCGTTCCCGCGCACCCGGCCCCCCGCTTACGAAACGGGGGCGAGCCCGGCGCCGCCGGCCCCCCGCCGAGAGGGAGACGGGAATTGGGGGGGGATTTCTGGGAGAGGATGGGGAGGGAGGTGCTGGGTGGAGGTCAGGACTGAGGTGGGGAGTGAGGTCTGTGCTCCCGTGGTCCCCCCAAGCCCCTCAGTGAGAGCAGAGCCCCCATCCCCACTGTCACCCACTTCCACATGGGTGACCATCCCCTCCAGATCCCTCTGGGCACTGGGGACCCCCTTGTAACACTCCCATGCCCTGCTCTGTGGGTGCCCCGTATCCCACCTCACCCCTTCTGGCATCACCAACCCCCTCTGAGATGGAGACAGGGGTCTGGGGGGGAATTTTGGGAGAGGACAGGGAGGGAAGTGCTGGCTGGAGGTCAGGACAGAGATGGGGAGTGGGGTCTGTGCTCCTGTGGCCCCCCCAACCCCCGGGATGGGGGATATGGTGGGAGCAGAGTCCCCATCCTCACTGCCCCCCGTTTTCTCTCGGGTGTTCCTCCATCCCAAAGAAATCCGGGAATCACTCCATCCCTCCATCCCAAAGGAATCTGGGCACTGGGAACCCCCGTGTAACACCCCCGTGCCCCGCTCTGTGGGTGCCCCACATCCCACTCGCCCCCTCCGGCAGCGCCCGCACCCACCACTCACCCTCTGGCCACTTCCTTCTCCCCCAAAACTGCTGACACCCCCGGAACGGGGCCGCCCCGGCCCTTCCTCTGTCCCGTGAGGTCCCACGTGAGCTCCCCGGGGGGATGGTGGCTTCGCTGCCACCCCTCGGTCCCCACCAAGCCGCCCGTCCCCTGCCGCTGGGGGTGAGGGGCACCATGGCAGGAGCCCTGTCTGGCCGCGATGCTGCTCCCGGGGGACACCGGGGACATCAGGGACACGGGGGACACAGGGGAGGGTGTCTTCCCCACTGCCACAGCCCTGGGGGACGCAGCTCCCACCGGAATGCCATGGGAACGGGGCAGCTCCCTGGTGCCAGCTGGCGACACCGCGGGGAGGACGCGGGTTGGGGACGGGGGCTGATCCCGCTGGAAAAACTCGGGGTGACAAGGGCAGGGAGGGCAACAGGGCTGGGGCGAAGCCGGGGGCACCCACGGGGAGGGTTAAACCCCGCGAGGGGAATCCCAGAGCCCATCCCTGCTGCCGGGGGGTGACCATCCCCCCCGGGTCACCTCCAGGTCCCCTCCAGCCCGCCAAGTGACATCTCCGGAGGTCGCAGCGCCCCGGCCGCCGCAGCCCACCCCGGGGTGCCAACGACCCCCGTCCGAGCCCCGGCTCACCTCCTCTCCTCCTGGTCCCCGTGGCCGGCGAGGAGCCTCCAGCGCCGGCCCTGCCTCGGTCCCTCCCTCCCCGCGGCTCCGGCACCAGCCTCCGCTCGCAGATAAATATTTAACGCGCAGCCCGGGCCGGGATTAACAAAGGGCGAGTGTTTCCTGTTTGCTCAGCGCGGCGATGCCAGCCGGGAGCGCGCGGCCGGCCCCGGGGATGCTCCCGGGGATGCTCCCATGCCCGGGGATGTGCCGGGCGGCGGCCGGAGCCCCCCCCGGGGCCGATCCCGCGGTCTGGGGGCGATGCCGGGTGCGGGGCAAGGTGCCGGTGGCCCCCCCAAGTTGGGTGGGAACACCCAGGAAAAGGGTGGGAGAGCCGGAGCATCCTTTCCCGGTCACGCCCTGGATGCATCCGGAGGCTGGGCAGCGGGAATTTCGTCAGGACAACAGGTGGGGAACAGGGAGCACGTGGTGAGCTGGGCTCGAGGCCGAATTCCCGCGGGAAAAGGTGCTGGGATTGGTGTAATGCACTGGAGTCCTCCAGAGCTGATCCTGAGTATCGTGGGAGAGGGATGGATCCCAGATGTGGCAGCCACAGCTGGGAGGCACAGCTGGGAGGAACAGCAGCTTCCCAAGCAGGGAGGGAGCTGGGATGGCCACAGGAGCCACCTCCTGTCCCGGGCACAGGATGGGGATCCCCAGGCAGGAGCCAGCCTGGTGTGGGAGCCATGACCCACCCGGATGGATCCCAGAGCCCAGGGCTGCTCCCTGAAATCCCTGGGTGTGGAGGGAGCACCTCCCAAAAGCGCTGAGGAAGGAGCCGGGTGTGAAACAAGAGCTGGCACATCCCCTCCTCTTCCTCCTGGCAGCGGCAGGAGGGTTATTTACCCAGGGAAGGACGAGGAGCAGGAGCTGAGAGCTCTCCAAACCCACCCTGGAGCCGCCACTCCGCGTGTGCCGACGTGCCAGAGGCTGGGAGACGCCGTCTGGGCACTGCCCCAACCCTGGAGAGGCTGGAAAAGCCCCCAAATCCTTCCTCCTGGAAGCACCCACGGGGTGCTCAGCACCCCTGGAGAAACACCCCCTTCACACCCCCCAAAAAAACCACAGTGGAGCCCAGTGACTGTGTCAATTTTTATCTTTTTTTTTTCTTTTTTTTTCCTCCTTAAAGATGACTCCGATTTACATCGAGACAGTTCTAACAAATTCATTCCTTGTTTCACAAAAAAAAAAAAGAAATTATATTAAATAATTTCTGCCAATAAATAACATTTTCACCATTTTTTTTCTCCTTTCGACAGAACTAAAAAAAAAAAAAAAAAACAACAAAATAAAAGCAAGAAATAAAAATTAAAAATTAAAAAGGAGGCAGTCTCCAGGCAACGGGCATATGATCCTTCAGCACTGAGAACCCCAAAATCACCATCACTGCACCCCCTGTGGGGCTTCAGGTCCTCCCTGGCCGAGGTTGGTGGGATCTGCATCCCACCCCAGCTCACCTGGCCAGGTGGGATCTGTGCCAGAGGCAGCCAGAGAGGTTCTCCCAATCCCAAAAAATAAAATTAAGCCTGAACTCGAACCCACCACCCGCCCCGTTGCCGACTCCCCTCCTTGGACATGCACCTTGCTAGAACATGCAAAAAAACCCAGGCTGTGGGGACGTGGGGGCTTCCCTGGATTTGGGGGCTCCCCAGGGGAGGTGGGGGCTCCCCCAAGGCCGGTGGGCTTCCCAGAATCCCGGTTGTCCAAGCTCCAGGTGGCAGCCGGGGAGGGGAAGGGATGGGCAGGAGCTCTGAGATTGAGGGGTCTTGGGATGTGCACAGCTCTGAGGGGCCGGGTTTGAGGAGAAAGAGAGGAGTAACACGGGAATTTGGGGGGTTTTAGGGATTGTTTTTTGGTTTGTTGTGGTGGGGGAGTCAGGGCAGGGAATTCTGCTCCGAGGTTGTCGTCACCCTCTTCCCCAAAAGAGGGGAGGGGGGATCTCGGTGCTGGGGCAGGGAAAGCTCTGTGTTCCCACCGGGATGCCAGCACGGACAGGGGCTGTTAATTGAGGGGGTAATTAGCACCCAGAGCCCCATCGCTGCTCCTCACCCCCTCGGGAACTGGTTTTAAGGGAAGAGGGGACCTGGAAGTGTGGCATCCACATGTGCCAGCTGCCACACGGCTCCTGGGACAGGGAAGGGAACATCCTGCCCTTGGTCACCTTCTCCAGGGCTTGGACAACCAACATCCAGCCCTTGGCCACCTTCTCCAGGGCCGGGACACTGGGAAGCTGCAGCCCCACGAGCCCCAGGGATGGAGGGGTGGCTCTGGATCCCCCAATCCACAAAGCACAAGGTCCACAGGGATTTTAGGGAGGGGGAACTGGTGATGCCAGAGCAGGAGAAGAGGGTTGGGGAGACAAACTGCCAGCAAAGCAAACCCCTCCTCCGCGATGGGCCGGGCTCTGCTGACCCCCCCCTGTGCGGGGAGGGGGTGCCAGGCCCGGGGGGTCCCGCGGGGCTCCCATCCCAAAAATCTCCCGACTAAAACCTGCTGCTTGGGTGAGATCCCAGCCTGGGTCAGCACAACACGCCCGAACATGCACGGGCAGCACCGGGCACGGTCTGTGCTCTCGGATACCACACACGGGGCTCACGGCGATCAAAGGAGGCCCTTAAAGAACAAAGAATACTCACAGACAAAGGCAATTTGGCCCCAGGCCTCGGACGGGGGGGTGGGGGGAGGGAAGCTCGCTCCAAACACCCCTCTTTTCGCACTTTTTGCAAAGCGGTGGGCGTGTAAAAAAAACAGGAGGAGGGGAAAAAAAAGAGGGAAAAGTGGAGGCATGTGACTTGTGGAAACCCGGTGGTTCGCTCACAGAATCCTAAGGAGCCGCCGTGGAATTAAGTGAGGTGTGATCCTAAGACACAGCCTGAAAGCTTCCTGCAAAGTTGCTGTTTTCCTCTGGCGCTGGAATCACAAAGGGGAGACAGCAAGATCCAGGGAAAGTGTTGGCAAAGATCCCTTGGGAGAGGCTCGAGCTTGGGAAAAGGTGGGGAAGAAGGGAAAGCTGGCCAGGGGTTTGCTTCCTTGGCTCCGGGCAACGGGAAGGGAAGCGACCAACGGGAATCTCACAAAACCCTTTTCCAAAGGAAAAAGGAACACATCTACGCTCCAAAATCCCCAGCACCACACAGGGGGTGTCCCCTGGGAGCCCCTGGAGATCCCTCTCCAGCACTGCACAAGCACCCTTTCAAAAATTCCCACTGGATCTGCCCAGTTTTATCTTCCAGCCTCCTGCCAAACCTGCCTCCCCTCCCTGCAGCCGAGGGAGGTGCTCCCAAAACTGGGGGGGTGCCTTGAAACCAGCACCAAGCCACATCTCCCAGAAACCAGCAGCATCCCCACACATCTTATCCCCAATTCTTTTCCAGCTGCTGGGAAAGGCTCAGGTGCCCACGGCTCCTTTGGAGTCGGAGGAATAGCCACTGGCTGACAGTGGGTGATGCCCCAAGTCAATCACAGTGAGTGGAAGATCCCCCAAAACACACCCTGGGAGACAGGGAGGTGACACTGAGGGGGCCCCACCCCAAACTGACCAGCAAGGGCCGATTCCAGAGCCGGGAACAGGGAATGTGCCGCGGGCTCAGCAGCCTGTGGTGGTGGGACAACAGGGGGTCTGTTATTCCCCAGGTTATAAATCACCCCCTTTTCCTTTAAAATTCAGGCCTGGCAGCTTTCCCAGAGATCATCAGACAGCAGAGATAATTCCTCTGCTCTGAATCAGAGCGATTCCCAAGGGAATTCTGCTGCACGGGCAGCAAAGTGGCTGCTCCAAGCCGGGACAGCCGGGGAAGAGCCACAACAAGGGGCAGCGCTTCCCCCACCTGCCTTCCCCTCATTTTTGTTTGGGATTCCACTGGAATAAAGCTGGATTCCTGAAGGAAAAGGTGCCGTGATTGGTGTTAACACCCTGGACTCCTTCAGAGCTAATCCTTGCTGTCACCTTGGAAAAGGGATGGATCTCAACAACAACGTGCCTTCCAGGGAATCGGTTGCTAAAGCAGCAGCTGCAGGTAGGCAAGGACTTGAAAGCAACAGGAAAATCTGGGAAGAAAACAGGTGTGAAAAGGAAAACCAACCCAACCCTGTCCTGAAGGGAAGGACCTGCTTTGGAAAGCTCAGGCCAACTCCAAATTGTCCCAAAGCCAACGACCCAAGTTGCCTGGTTTGACTGATTTTTTTTGTTTCTTTTAATCCCCCTCCCCGACCTCCACAGAGGTTTGGCCTCTCGGGGAGGGCAGCTGGAACAGCACAACATTCCCGGGATGCACTAGCAGTTGGATTGGTTTCTAAATTTAAAAAAAAAAAAAAAAAGAAAAAAAAAAAAATGGACTCCTTTTATATATATTGAACATAAATTAAAAAAAAAAAAAAATAATTACAAAATGGTCGCCCTTCCTTTTACAGAACGGATGCGAACTTGGACTTATGGACGTGCCTCCGGGTGACGTTGGTTTCAACCCCCCCTCGCCCCCAGCCCACCCCCAGATAATAAATAAATAAAATTCCTTAAGTTTTGGATCCTTTAGTGGTGCGGGTTCGGGCGCTCGGAGCGTTACTGGGATTTCTTCCCTGTGCCGTTCTTGTCCGCAGAGTTCGAGGTTACCAAGTTCACGGGCCCGTCCGAGTGCAGGGAATCCTTGCGCGGCGGCATCCGCTCGTTGATCCGGTCCAGCCCCCGCGCCTCCTCGAAGCTGCGGATCTTGTGCTGCGGGGAGAACCCACGGATGGCTGCGGGGAGAAGGGATGAGGGAAGGGGAGGGTGTTAGTGCCGGGCCGGGGATTGGCGGGGAGGAGCCCTCCGAGCACACGCCAGACACGAACGGGACAGTCAGCGGGACAGAGAGCACCTGTGTGGATGCAGCACCTGTGTGGATGCAGCACCTGTGTGGATGCAGCACCTGTCTGGATTTGGGATGCACGTGGATGTTCTTGGTGGTGGTTTGGGGTTTGGAATTTGCAGCAAAGTTTGGGATTTGACCGCGGCGACTCGCTCCGCTCCCTCAGAGCTTCTCTTTCCATGGAGTCATGGAATGGTTTGGGTTGGGAGGGACTTTAAAATCACCCAGCTCCACCCCTGTCACAGGCAGGGACACCTTCCACTAGCCCAGGTTGCTCCAACCTGGCCTTGGACACTCCCAAGGATGGGGCAGCCACAGCTTCTCCAGGAATTCCATCCCAGCCCCTCCCCACCCTCACAGGGAAAAATTCCTTCCCAACATCCCACCTGCCCTTATCTAATACAGCAGCAGGAATTTGAAGAACCAGACAAGTGCTCGCTGTCCCCAAAGAGTGAAATCTCAGGAAAGGTTCAAAGCTGAACAACACGACACTGAAAAAATAACAACAACACTAAAAAAAAAAAGCCAAACCAAACCGACAGAACAAAGACACCACCACAAGGCTCCGAACTCCGACACAAACCACACACTGCAACACCAGGAGAGGGAACAGCTAATCCTTGGATCACAAAGGCAGAGCTCTTGCATGACCAGGAGACACACGGGCAGTTTTGGGAGGGATGGATCCCCCCCAGGGATTTCGTGTCCCTGTTCCATCACTGCGAGGCCGAGCACGTCCGTCCTCGCCGCGATGATCCGGCCCAAATGTGAAACTTCTTTGTGTTACACGTAATTTAAGGAAAAAGGGGGTTGTGCCAAATCTTTTCCAAGGACTTGGCTGCATTACAAACAACTTCCCTTGGTAAGCAAAGTCTCCACAGAGCTGCGTGGCCCCCATTCAGGATCGAGGAAAACATCCTCGGGGATCTGCCATTTCCACACTCCACAGGGAGAAACCTGCTCTCCACCTCGGCCCAGAAGGCAGGGGGTTACATCAGCACCATGAAATCCTCTGTTTCCTAAAGGATTTTGACCGTGCTGGCAGCCTGAGAGATCAGATTGCAGGACCCCAACCACCAGAGCAACAGAGCAACAACCTCACTGAGGCTCAAACAGCCTCGAGCCAAACCACTGGGGATTTTTTTTTAACTTGTCCTTCCCCTGCTTCTGGTGATGCAAGAGTGAAAAAAAAATAAAAAAAAGCTTCTGTAGGGCTGATAAAGCTCTTTGGGGTCAGCGCACGCACACACGGAGATGCTTTGGGGTCTCTCGGCGGGTTCTAGCCATACCTTCCCGTGCCTCTACCGCTTCTACTGTGGCTGCAATACAGAAGAACAGTGGCATGCAAAAATGAAGACAGAAAAAAAAAAAAAAAAAGAAAAAACAAAAACAGAGTGACAGTGAGTGATCCGACATCATGGCTGCGACGCAGAGCCCACGCTCCCCCAGCCCCGGGGCTGCCAAACCACGGGCCAGAGGGAAGAGAAGAGGTGACAGCGGGTGGAGAGGAGGGTGGAAGGGGACTCCCTCGGGGGGCAGGGGGAGTCTCCCTTCCTCGCCACACAGATTTGATCCGATGGAAGGACAGAGAAGCAGAGAGAGGGCTGCCTGCTGCGTGCCTTGGGGTAACCTCGGGCTAAGCCGTGGATCTCACCCCCCTGCTCCCAGCTGGGGGCTCTGGATGCCTCCAGGAGGTGAATTGTGTGGAATTCACCCACTGCTCTCACAGCTGTGTGAGCCCGAGGGATGGGAAGATGTTTGGGAGCAGTGGGGAGCAGAGGGACAGCCTGTTTTCCAAGCAGCAGTCACTGGGCTGCTCCGCTCCCGATGCCTTGAGTTATAGGAAAAAATAAGGCTGGTGCTTCAAACCCAGTTTGGCTTCAGCTCCACCTCCTAAAAGTGTTACCAAGCAACGAGGCACCACCGAGCTGAGCAAGGTCCCCTTTCCTAAATCTGCTGCAGCAACGGGCCAAGTTTTGGCAGGCCCTGCCTCAACATCTGGGAGGAGGCCCTTCCCTAGAACAGATTCTCTGGTTTTCAGCCTCAAAACACCACTTTGGCCCCAGTAAAAAGGCCACACGGTCCTTGGGAGGCCACGGGGGAAGGATGGAGCTGTGGCTGAACAGCTTTGCCCCGGATTTGGTGACTTCATTCCATTGATTTTGCTAAGTCGTGCTGTGGAAAGCTGGGGGGAGGCTCGGGAGGGATGGGCCTCCCCCACTGCTATCTGCAGCCCTGTTTCTCCTTTTTTGGGGTGCAGAGGCACCCCTAAAGGGGGGGGCAGCCCCTTCTCCTTGCTGAGCAGACGGGGCTCCCATAAATTCACCAGGAGGCTGCCGGGAGTGCGAAGGGACGTGCGAAATGGGGCGGGGTGGGAGAGAGGGCAGGACGGGGAAAAAGGGCTGGGAGAAGGGGACAGGATGGGGAAAAAGGGGTGGGAGAAGGGGACAGGATGGGGAAATGGGGGTGAGAAGGGCAGGAGAAGCAGGGTGGTGCTGAGGGAAGCAGGGGGAGCCTGCAGCCATAGGAAGAGGCAGCGGGCAGGGTGGGTAAGGCAGAGCAAAGGCCCAGCTTGTTTGTTCTGTCCTGGGGAGATGCCTATTTTGGGGCAAGGGGGAATGTCCATGGTACCCCTCAGAGAACCCCCTGAGAGGGGAAGGGGCTGGAGAACGTCACAGCATCACCCTGTGCTGTCAGATACAGCGACAAAGCTGCTGCAACAGCCACCTTCCCACTCAGGCTCTGTTCCCAGAACTGGGGCAACAGGACCACGATGGTTTCTATAAAAAAAAAAAAAGGGGGAAAAAAAAATCCATCCTTCTCTGTGGGCAGAGAAATGCATGAGTTTGGGAGTGATGCTGCACCCTCCCTGGGAGCAGGCAGCAGTATTTACACGTTTCCTACTCGTGAACTATTTAATCCAGGCAGCCCCGGCCTCGTCCCTGTGTGAGCTGCAGGAAATCCCCGGTGCCCATGGGAAGGGGGAAGCTGGGGACATGCCAGCATTCAAAGGATAGCAGGAAAGGATTAAAACACTAGATTACAGGATTCCCTCTGGGGACACGTTACTGGGACAGCTCATTCCCTGACCATCAGCCAACCTCCCTCCCCGCCCTGTGAGTGGGAAGCCCATGGATCGGATCCCGCTCCCAGCACTCCACCAACACAGAGCTGCTGAGGGAGGGAGCAGAGCGGAAAGAAACCTCCAAAACCAGATGAAAACCTCAGAGGAGTCTTAATATAAAACATCCAGGCCTGGATGGATCTCATTCCTTCGGCTGAGTCTTCCTGTATTTGGGATTGGTGATTTCCCAGGGGCAGTTTCGGGGGGGTTGGGGGTGTGTTAACGAAGAACAAACAAGGTGTGTCACTGTCACATTCACACAGAGGCTGTCACACAGCAGCAGCAGCAGCGAGGTGAGGCAGAGGATGTGCACCATGCAGCATTAGGAGGGAAATAAAGGATAAAAAAATCCTTGCAGAAACATACAGTTAAGCAATGCACATGCTCTGGGCAGGGTGCTGTGGGGTTCCTTCCTCCGGGGTACACAGGGACTGTCTTGGCATCTCTCCACACCCCCACCTACACCTCTGCTCCTTCCTGGTTCAGAATCCTTCCTCCCCGTGGGCCTGAGCCATCCCTGGGATCCCCTGGCACCCTCCAGGCTGCCTGTGGGGGCTGGGAGGGGGGTTTGGGGGCAGGTGGAGCAGAGCAGGGGGGGGTCAGGGACACTCACCGGTCTGGAGGGTCTGCCTGCCCCCCGAGAGCACTCCCAGGGGCAGGGTACCTGTGGGGGTCAGGCCTTTGAGGGTCAGCACGCTCTCACTCTCCTCCCTGCAGGGAACAGCAACACAACAGCTCAGAGAGGGCAATGCAATGGTCATACTGGGCTGACCAAGCCTCGGGAATCAGGGAATTATTAAGGTTGGAAAAGATGCCTAAGATCACCAAGTCCAACCATCACCATCACGGTGTTTCCACCACTAACCCATGTCCCCAAGTGCCACATGCACACGTCTGTTAAATCACATCCACACATCTCTGTTAAATCCCACCAGGGATGGTGATTCCATCACTGCCAGGGCTGGACAGCCCTTTCCATGAGGAAATTTTCCCTAATATCCAACCTAAACCTTCTCTGGCACAACTCAAGGCTGTTTCCTCTCATCCTGTGACTTGTTACCTGGGAGAGCAGCCCGACCTCCACCTCACTACAACCTCCTTCCTGTCCTGAAAGAGTCAGAAACCACCACCTCGAGCCTCTTCCACACGCTCTGGAGGAAGTTTTGTGAGGTTTTCCCCTTCCTTTCTGACTGACTGACATTCCCCTGTCACCCAGCCCCCAAATTAAACCCAGCCCCCCCAATTAAACCCAGCTCCCATCCCCTCCTTACCGAAGAACCGAGAACACACGTGCCATCTTCCCAATGGCTCTGATCTTATTCCTGATGATCTCCTTCCGGACTGTTGTCCCACCTGAGGGAGAGAAAAGAGCAAAGAGCAGCACGTTGGAGGCTTCCTGCTTTCCCAGGGAATGCCAGTATGAAGCACCTGCCTGACTCCAGGAAAAGAAATCATGGTTTACAGATTCACAGCTACACTGGAGAGAGAACGGTGCTGGAGGATGGCATCAGGATGGCATCAGGATGGCAGTGAGAAGGGCAACACCAACGAGATGAGACACGGACTCGAGAGCTCTAGAGAGAGTAGAACCACCGAGGGACACGGATCTGGGGAGGTCTTTGTTGGAAGCTCACCGGGTTGGTTCACACTACACAGGATGTGACACAAATGACTCAGCCACGGAGACACAGTTTTGCAAGGCAGAGCACGGAGGGGTCTGATGGCTGATGGGCACTGCTGTGCCACGCAAGCATCAGCTTTGGCATCCAAGGAGCACAGGGAAGGGCTGGCCAGGGCCTTGCAGCTCTGCTCAGACCCCACACAAACACAAAGGTGAGAGAGGTGAACTCCCCTCCCGCTCCACGGACCCGACGGGAGAGAAAAAAGCATGGAGGGAACTGAAACCAAACCAAAAATCCAGGTGAAACCGGGGGAAACAAATCCATCTCCTCTCAGCTGAGATTCCTCACGTGGCCCAGTACACATCAGGACAGGAAAGCCAAACCCAGGTCTAACATGCACCATGGCTCAGCCATGCACTACGTGGCTGCATTCAGAATCAGGTAGAAACGTGACCCCGTTCCTCAGGCTCCTGGAGGAACGCAGAAGGGTTAAAAAAACACATGGAGCTTATGTTAAAACTGAAAGGGGATGAAGAGCCTGCCCGACTAGTCAGCTCTGGAAATCCACTTCAAGGATCTGGTGGCACAGGCAGTGAAAATTAAGCTCGTAGCAAATTCTAGCTGGGTACCTTTCGGATAGCTTGAAATGTAGTGATCTTCAGGGAGAGGAGACACCAAGAAACAAGTAGATGAAGACAGAGATAGAAGAAACAAATTTAATTTTCATGGGAGGGAGGAAAGAAAAAAACAAAAACCAAAAAAACAAAACAAAAAAAACAAAACAAACCAAAAAAAGCAAAAACGAAATGCAATGGGAGAAGCGGGTTAAGAGTCTCCAGCTGGGACCGAAGCAGCTCAGGGCCCCACTTCTCACTGTCCCCCACGGCTTCCTGAGGGACCCCCAAATTCCAAACTGCACGTCAGCTCAGCCACTGATTCGTCCCTTTCATGCACAGCTTAAAATCAAGGCCAAAAACTGCATTCTGGCTTTTGGGGAGGGGTGACGTGAGAAGCCGCTTTACACAGGAGCTCACTGCAACAGATGAGAAGATTGGGTGGATATTTTGGTGCAGAAAATTTTGAATTGGGGGAAAAAAATAACCAGCAGCCTGTGTAAGGAGCAGGAAACCATTCCCAGAGTAGCTGGCAAGAAGTGTCTGTCGCAGTGAATGTCATTTAATTTCTCTGTGACTGAAGAGCAAACGAGGAAAAAAAATAAAATAAATGTTTCCTACCCAGAACTGCACAAGGTTTGGCCAAAAAGGAACTGGAGAGCTGGGCATCCAGCTATAAATCAAGTGCTGCTCAGGCATCAAACACCTTCCCCACCTTCCCTCCCTGCTGTCACCAGGTCCCCACAGAGATGTTTTACCTTCCAACGTCTCGTCCCCATCTGAGATCAGCTCGTCATCGGAGCAGATGTTGAGGATGTTAACGAGCATCTCGGTGACTGCAAGAGGCACAGACAGAGGTCAGAGAGGCCTGGGGCACATCTTGGAGCACAGAGGGATCTGGAGGGCGAGCTGTGCCAGGGAATGGCTTTTTCAAGGTCGTTTATTCCCTGGAAGTGGGAGCCTAAAGACACTTTGAGCCGCAGCTGCTGGTACCTCGCAGCGGGACCAGAGCAGACGACACACGCTCCATCCTCTGCCAAGGAGGTGGATGCAGTCCAAGCACAGCACAGATGAACCAGACGTGGGCACTGAGGTGCCAACATTCCTGCAGAACAGCCTGAGCTCGCCCAAGGTCCCCCCTCCCCATCCCAACAGGCCACCTGGCTCTGGGAATGCTGAATTTGAGGACTGGGGGGGGGGGGGGGATTAGACCTTTGGTGCCTCAAAGTCAAAAAAAAAACAACCCACCCCTTTGGCAGTTCAGAGCTTGAAGCCACAACTCCAAACACACAACACTGGGGTGGAATTTAAAGTCATCAGGAGATGTAAAAAAAATCCTCTTTTGCTGGAAAGCTGAGGCAGAGTCTTGGGCATATTTTAAGCTGCCTCGCCCCCCTCCAGAACGAAATAAGCCTCTGACTGAAGTGAATGTTTCCTTTTTGGTGGGCCATGAGCCAACAGGAGTTTTTAATTCCTCTGTTGCAAACCCAGAGGAAGAGAAATGTCTCCAAATTCTGAGGTGGGGCTACATGACACAAGATCAGCCCCATCAACAATGCAGAAAGAGCAAGAAAGGAGCGGCCTGTCGGTAAAAGGTCTTTAAAACAAGCATAAACAACGGTTTTCCCAAAAATTTAAACCAGGAATACAAAGATTTCCTTGAATTTGAACTGTTTTCCAGTGCTACCTGGTATTAATGAGCTGTAACACTCTCCCAACACATAAGGGACACATTTCTAATGCTCAGGGAACTGTGACCAGTCACTGGGAACTTGGAACAGAAATCCAAACCTCTCTTACCCTTTTCCCCTACGAAAGGCAAAGACCATGTGAAGACATCCATGAAGTTTGGAAGCCAGTAGGGATGAGGGGAACAGTTGAACTGCCTGATGTTCATGACGTTGTTTTCATATTTCAGTACAGCAGCTGGGAGAGAAAAAGCCAAGAGAACACGTGTCCATGGGCACTGGGAATTTAAGAGCTGGAATGGTTTGGGTTGCAAGGGACCTTAAAATTGATCCAGTTCCACCCCCTGCCATGGGCAGGGACACCTTCCACTAGCCCAGGTTGCTCCAACCTGGCCTTGGACACTTCCAAGGATCCAGGGGCAGCCACAGCTTCTCTGGGCAACCTGTGCCAGCCCCTCCCCACCCTCACAGCCAAGAATTCCTTCCCAATATCCAACCTAAATTTCCCCTCTTTCAGTCTAAACCCATTCCTCCTTGTCCTGTCACTCCATCCCTAGTCCCAAGTCTCTCTCCAGCTCTCCTGGAGCCCCTTTAGGCCCTGGAAGGGGCTCTAAGCCCTCCCAGAGCCTTCTCTTCTCCAGGTGAACACCCCCAGCTCTCCCAGCCTTTGGAAGTTGTACCTGTGTTAATAAAACTTCATTATTAACACGAGGTTACACTTGTGTAGAATCAAACCACCAATACCCCAAAATGAGAGGGCTTAAAGAGCCATTTTTTAGTTTACTCATGTTGTTTCACTAAAGCCTGAAATACTGAAGGGTCAGTGGAACAAAGCTGCTAAAACTGATGCAAAACACAGAGCCAAGATCCAAAGGGAAGGGTTAAAAAACCCCAGAGCTGAGGAAAATCCCCTCATGATTTAGTGGAAAGCTTGCCTACACTATCAGCTTCTCTTGGATGGCAGCATCCCACAAAAGGGCTCCGTTGTCCCGTGGCTGGGAATGAAAGCTTTATTCCAGGCTCTATGACTTGACAGCTAATTACCACAGTAACACATTAAGTCAGGGGACCAACCACTTCAGCTCAGCACACAAAGCTCTCTTTCATTTCGTGCCCAAGAATGCAACTGGAGGAGAGGGTTTTGTATCAGAAATAGTGTATTTTTGTATCCAAACCACTGGGGCAGCAGTGGCAGGGCAGGGATTGTCCCTCCCTGCTGGGCACTGGGGAGGCCCCTTGAGTGCTGCGTCCAGTTCTGGGCCCCTCAATTCAGGAAGGACATTGAGGAGCGTGTCCAGGGAAGGGAACAGAGCTGGGGAAGGGGCTGGAGCAGCAGGAGCGGCTGAGGGAGTTGGGGGGGCTCAGCCTGGAGAAAAGGAGGCTCAGGGGTGACCTTATTGCTCCCTAAAACTCCCTGGTAGGAGGGGGGAGCCGGGTGGGTCGGGCTCTGCTCCCAGGGAACAAGGGACAGGATGAGAGGAAACAGCCTCAAGCTGTGCCAGGGGAGGCTCAGATTGGACATCAGGAGGAATTTCCTCATGGAAAGGGTTGGTTAAACATTGGAACTGCCCAGGGAGGTGGTGGAATCCCCACTCCTGTAGGTGCCCAAGGCAGGACTGGACACTCAGTGCTCTGGGCTGGGTGGGATGGTGGAGATCAGCTACAGGTTGGACTCCATGACCTTGGAGGGCTTTTCCAACCCGAGATTCTGAGATGGCAGAGTGGGAGAGGGATTCCCTGACCCCCCCCAAGAGCCCCTTACCCTTGTTGTTATAGACATCTAAGTAATTTGGTGCAGAGAAGATTGTGATTAGCGAGGGAAAGCCCGTCGTCTGGCTCTTCCTGTACATTCGGTACCTGGAAAACAGGGCAGGTGGTTTAAAACCCTGCCAAGGAAAAGCCCCAAACCTGCCCAGCTCCCAGGGGCTGCAGCACTTACCCAGCATCCTGGGCTTCGTGAGCTCGGATTACGGATAACAAACTATTGTTCTGCAAAAATTCACACACTGCAGGATAACTGGAAAACGAAAAAAAGCAAGAATAATTTAACAGGTGGCAAAGGAGAGCACAGAGCGCGTGTGGTCTTGGTTTCAGGGATCAGCCACTTGCAGAAACCACCTGGTTTCTGTCCAGCACTCCCCAAAAATGCCAGTATATCACTCGAAAATAAATTGGAAAGGGTTCTGTTAAACAGACCCCTGGTGCCAAACCTTCCCTACAAGTGGTCTGTCAGCACAAATGCTGCTTTATTTTTTAGGCAGGAAAAGATAATTTCCTAGAGATCCTGGTACTGAAAGCCACTCATGGGGCACCCTGCCAGCAAAAGGAGCATCTCTGCTGCCTCAGACCACAATTTCATAAAGTAAGTCACCTAAGGAGAGCTCAGTATTACAGGGGAAGGAAAAACAAACAGTAATTTGTGCATCAGAGCCAAGACAAGAGTATTTCAGGCACACTGCAAAGCGCCACAGGGTGAACTGATTTTTTTCAGTGCAAGGGGAGGCAAAGTGCCCTCCAAACCCCCTCTTACCTGTAGAAATAGGAGCAGCCTCGGACAGTGTTGTGGGCAAAATGCTCCAGTGTTTTCTCATTGCCATAATCCTCCGAGGGATCAGACCAGAGCAGGTCACACATTGGACCAAAGGCTGGAGGCTCCTTAAACCTGTCTAACTGGAAAACGGACACAACATCAGGAGGCTGCTGGTGGGAGCTGTGGCAGGACACACACACACACAACCCTCCATCCCCTTGGAATGCCGGGCGGGAATCAAGCCATTATCCCCCCTTTGTTGGAACTGGAAGGGATGGGAAGGCCCCACGGAGATGACTTACTTTCCTAATGTCATCTAGACACGTGATTTCTGGAGACAGTCCTCCGTGGACACACAGGAATTGCTGGTTTAGGAGGGCAGCAAGAGGAAGACAGTCAAAGGTATCCATGCACGCGTCGTACACTCGCTCCGAGTACTTGATTCGACCTGGGAACAGGGATTAAATCCAGCTGTGATCAGCCAAAGTGCTGAGAAATAAATTCCAGGAGCCCAGTTTCTCAGGGGATATGGAAACTCTACATTTATGGCCCACAACTCCAACTTTGCACCTGGGTATTAGTGAAAATACAGGCTTAGAAAACGTTCGTTGGATGCGAAAAGAAAAAGGCTTTGCTGTAAATCTGGACTTGCTCAGGAATATTCATCTCCCTTCAAGGTGTTTTCTACAAGACCTGCACTAGGATCAACACAGAAAAGAGATTGTTTCCACCTGACAGAAACTTGGGATGCACTTCCCTACATCCCTGCTGCACCTCCAGGCTCATCCTATGCAGGTCACAGACAGGGAAATGCAGCAGCTGTCGGATTTGGCAGAGCAAGATCCCACATTCCTGAAGTCAGGAATTGCCTTTTCAGCTGGACATGGGTGCTCTGAGGCAGGATCTGCCCAGGATGCCCTCAGATAAATGGATTTTCACAGTGGATCTTTCACTGGTACAAGTGATGACAATCTCCACTGGGGCCTCATCCAGGCAGAGGGGAAGAGGATTTTTTCCACACATTAAAACAGAGATGCCACGGCCTTTCCAAAGCAGTTTGGTTTTTCCAGCAAGCCTCCAGCAGAATCAGAAACATCTTTATTTCACAGACACCAAGAGGGTTTTTTAGGGATGACAAAGGAAGGGGGAAGGCAGCACCTCCTGTTTTCCAAAGGGGAAAAAACCCCTGTGGCCTGGTTGGAACTGAGCTCAGCTCCAGGAGTTCTCCTGCCCCACCTGATGGCTCTGGGATCCAGCAGGGAGCTGAGAGGTGTTTTCCAGCTCATTTCTGAGCAAACAGCCTTTAGTTATCACCTCATCCCCTCTGAGCCTTCCCCCATATCCAGCAGCACCCAGAGCCCACGGGGTACAGACTGCACTGGTGCCTTCCCAAGGCAGGTCCCTGAGCAAGAATTCCCTGATGGAGCTTTGCTTTTGTCCACCTATTTTATGACTTGGAATGACTGTCATCCTCTGGGGAGAGAGGTCATGCCATGACCTTTCCTCATCACTGGTTTGAAAATAACACAAATGCTGCAGAAAACCCATCCTGAACTAAAACAATCCTAAAGGTAAATGATCCTCCCGAGTGCAAACAGGGAGGAGCAAATTCTTCCCTCGTTTCCAACTGGAATCACTGATTCCAGCTGCACAATCTGGAGCTGGGAGACTCCTGGCAGTGATTATATGTTGCTGGGCCTGGAAGTCAGGGAGGGGAGGATGTGACTGGCTCCTCAAGGGGAGATGTGTTCCCATTTCCTCCTCTTTGCAACCAAAAGGCCACATCAACACACGCTTGGTGCTTTGTAGGACTTATATATTGGGGTTTTTGGGGGTATTTTCTATGGCAAGGGCTGAAAGAGAAGAGATGTGTAAACAGGAAAATAGACAACAGGTTTTTACAGCTCTGGATATTAATTTGATCTGGTGTTAATCTGATATTAATCTGATTATTAGTCTGAGAGTAATCTGATTAATCTTGTTATTATATATACAGCTCTGATATTAATTTTTGTGCTCAGAGGCACGAAAATTAAGGCCCACACCTGCTGCCAGCACCTTTTTTTTTTTAAATATATTTAAAACCATATTTTTAAAATGTACTGAAATCCTTCTCATGCTGCTGGTACTTACATTCCTGCTTGAAGGTGAAATATTCTGTGAGGTGCCTGCACTCGTGGTTCCCTCGAAGGAGGAACAACGTTTTGGGGTGATTTATCTTTAAACTCCATAAATACAGCACGCACTGCAAGAGAGGGAAGGAGGAGATCAGGAAAAAAAAAGCCAGAAAAACCCTTTTCCAGGGCACTCATCAGTGTGAGAGACTTCCCGAAGCGTTTCTGGGAAGACACCCAAAGTGGAACCTGGAGAGAAACCCAGCTCCATACTGGGCAGTGGATCTTATCTTGGCCAAATGCAGCAGTGGGGGAAAAGCCACCCAGATTTCTCACTATATTAGGGCCGACTTGGAGAAGTGACAAATGAGGTTTTAGTTCACCCAAACCAGCTCGGGGCTGGCTGGGGGCAGGTTTTTGGGTTTTTTCTCCCCTTCCAAAGCAGCAAAGCCAAACCAGCTGTTTGCTCCAGATGTTCCACAGGGATGGAGCAGAGCAGGCAGCCACTTGTCCATTAAACAGCCGAAAAATTCAACTTTATCCCCCCCACTGATTTCCCCTCCCCACCCCCGCCTGGTTTCTCCGCTTACGCCGCAGTCACGTGAAGTTCAAGTTCAAAACAGGAAAAGCTGAGCCAAAAAACAAGCTTAGCAAAGCTTTGTGCCTTTTGAAAAGGGCTCTCCACATCCCCCAGCTGAGCAGCACCACCTGTAAAACGACACTCTTTGAGCACAGCCTAAAGTCAGGCTCCAACGGGAGGGTTTTGACCAGAAATGTTCCACGCTGGCTTCCCAGAAAGCCTCAGGGAAGGGCTGGAAAGCAGGAGTGCTCACCCCTGTGTGCTCTGCATTGTCAGGCTGACAGGGAAATGGGCTGGCATCGCACACAGGGAATTTTATCCAACGGTTTGGAGAGCTGGAAGGACAATCCAGAATGACAGCAGGCCCGAGATCTGGATTAAAGTCTCTAATAGGAGCTTACCCTGGAGGCTGAGATGGTACAGAACCTGCACATGCCTGGGGGTGGGAACCACAAAGTCTGTGAACAGTTTGACACTCTCAGATCTTGCTGATCTGGGGCACAGATCCCCGGGAACCAGCTGGAAACAACCTCCAGACCCCAAATAAACCAGTTTCCAGTCGGCTCCCAGTACACACAGCTCAGCCAGGATGGTGTTTAAGCACTCAACCTGCAAGGTAAGCTCTGCATCAGTCACTCCAGCTGATCCCAAAACCCAAGGAGCTGTAAAGCACCATCTGTGTCTCACTTGGAATTCAACCCCACATTAAAAACTTGATTAATTCTGAATTCTGCAAGCGAACGGGGCCAACACCGGTAGCAGAATCATGTTTTATTGCATCTGTTACCAGGAGGAATGCTCCCAACAAACCCATTTATAATTATTCTGGGATTTAAAGCTTTAACCTCCTGTGTTTGCAAGCTAAATGTCACTTCTCAGGGCTGGCAGGAGAACTTGGAAGTTGCTATAAATGAACCAAATGACTTGCTAACGGCTGGAGAAAGAACCAGCCCTGGCACCCAAGCAAAGCAGAGATACAGAGGAGGATTTGGGATGTGTGGAAGGCTGGTAACTTGCAGAAGAGGGATTTTAAAAAGAACATTTGGAGGGTTTGGAAGTGAAAAGGGATGGAATTTGACACCACAACTCTTCCTGGACACACACACACAAAGCAACGTTCCCTGGGGCTGCAGCCACTTCCCAGGGATGTGGGGGCTGCCAAGGTACCACTGGGGCACAGAGGGAAGGACCTTCAACAGCTCCCAAGGGGCTGGAATGAGGAATGAGGGAGGTTTCCACACTTGCATGCCTTGGATGCTTCCTGCAGGGAACCCTTTCCACAGCCCTGAGCCCAGGAATTGATTCCTGCCTGTTAACAACGGCCCCAGGAGCGACTCCAGACACTTCTTTGGCCTTAAATAATCTTTAATAAATCTACTTCTCTCCTTATTCGGCCTCTCAGCGTGAAGCCCAAAGCCGAGGGTTTGATTCACTTGGAAAGGGAAGGCTCAGCAGGCCCTGGGGAGGGAATTGCAGGAGGAATTGTGACCCCCCCAAAAATTCAAGAGGGGCTGGTGCCAAACCTGCCCACGAGCCACATCGTAACCTCTACCCCCATTCCCAAAACGTGGGATTTATCAGGGAGTTTTAAACATGGAGCCTCCCAGCTTTTCCTGGAGTGGGAACAGAGGCAAAATTCCCACAGCCAGCCCACAAATGTACCTTCCCTCACACCTTACAACCCTGACTGGATCTCTTTAATATTATTCCAGATAAAACAGTGCATTCAATCAAGTTTATCACATAATTCCACAATTAGACAGCGATTTTGTGTCCTGTCCTAATTGGATTGGAAAAGCTGGAGTGGGAGAGGTGTATGCCATGATCACCCTACTTCTCCTGATAAATCTCCTCTCTCCATGGATTCTGGTTTGGGTCGTAATAATTGTTTTACTTTATAATTTAATAAAATTATCCTACTCCTTGTTTTCTGCCTCCATGGACCAGGATGGTCCCTCCCCACCACGGACACAGCCCTGTCCTCTGTCTGGGCTGGGAGATGGAACTAAAAGCTTCATGAAAGAAGCATCTTTCCCACTTGGAGACCTGGGGGGATAATCCCTCAGCAGGGCAATGCCTCATCAGCATCTCCAAAGGGAGGAGTTCATCCCGATTTCCCTGCTGCCTGTCAGCCCCTTCCCTCTGGAGCTGGATCTGTGACCAGCCAGTCTCTGCTGTCACAGCAGGTTTGTGACAGCAAACGCTTCCCAGAGTCCCCCTTCCATCAGCATTCCAGCTTTCACACGGTTTTGTTTCCCTCCCTTCTCCCCTCACAACTCTTTTCTTAACTAACCCACAATTCATGGCCTCATTATCCTGAGAATTGATGTTTTTAAAGGAGAATTTCCCTAAGCCAGAGGCCCAGAAGGAATCTGTGGAGTGATTTGTTGTCGGCATCCAGCTGAGCTGATGAACTGGGGCTTTGAGGGAGGGGTTTAAATGTTTTGTCTGAGCCACAAATTCCATCTTTTACCTGGACAACCAAATGCCTGGAGCCAGGGAGAATTCCTGGAGGGGATATTTGGGCCTTCCACCTCCCTAGCCCCCCACTTTGGTATCTTGTTTCCTGTCTGGAATCCAGAAGGATCAGGGAGTCCAAATCCTGGCTCTGCAAAGGACACCCCCAGCTGCTCCAGGCAGGCACTGGATCATCTCCCCACATCCCCATGGATGTGGGGAACTCCTGATGCTGCTGGTGCTCTCCACCTTCCCACTGCTCAAAGCACAGGGAAACCCAGATGCTTTTCCATTCCCTGAGCCTCTGGGATGGCCCAAACCTGCTGTTGTTTCACACTGGAAACCAGTTTCTGCACATCCAGGTGGGAATCCATACTGCCACAGGCAGACAGGACAAGGGGGAATGGATTTCAACTAAAACAGGGTTTAGAAGGGATATTGGGAAGGAATTCTTGGCTGTGAGGGTGGGGAGGGACTGGCACAGGTTGCCCAGAGAAGCTGTGGTTGCCCCTGGATTCCTGGAAGAGTCCAAGGCCAGGTTGGAGCAACCTGGGCTTATGGAAGGTGTCTCTGTTCGTGGCAGGGGGTGGAATGGGATGAGCTTTAAGGTCCCTTCCAACCCAAACCATTCCAGGATCCTGTGATGATCCCAGCATGGAGAGAGCAGGGCACTGATCCACAGCACTCCTGCGGATCTGGGGGTAAAATCTCCATGTCTGATCAATCCTGGGGGAAGAGCAGAGGGAGAGCAGCACTTTTCCACCCAGGAGCTGTCAAATCCATGTGCAGACACAGGGTCCAACAACCCCCCTTTGAGGGGTTCTTGGTTAACACCAAAAAAATCCACCTTTTACCTCAGAAGGAGCTGCTGGGCTGGAATATAATCTCTTTTCCAGGTAAATACACTCCAAGTGCAGTCCCAAGTGGCACAAGCCGAGCCATTGAAAGGAGCAGTTGGATGTCCTTCCCCTTCCTCCCCGGGGGGTTGTGGGGCTCCTCCTGCCAGCACCACCACAAACCCCAGCAGCCCAACCCCACCTCCCCAGCATCCGGCCCCGCTGCCCCGGAAAGGGCTCATGGTCACACCTTGGCTCCCTGTCAGAATTCCCGAGGCTGGAAGGGAGCCAGGGGCTGCTCCAGCACAGTGCTCTCCCTAAATCCTCTGCAGAATCCTTCAAAGAGCCACTTGCACTCATCCAGCAGAGCTCCTCCCTGGGATTTAACTGGGAATGATTCCTCTGCAGACCACACGGCTCAGCTATTCCTGCACCCTCCTCTCTTCCAGGAGAAACCACCTCCTCTGCTAATTCCAGCCCTGTTTTCACGCCCGTTTCCCCAAAAGCCCTTCGTTACATTGCTTCCAACTGGGATAAATGCTCCCATTTCCACTCCTTCTCCACAGCCTCTGTGAATCCAGGAGGCTGCAGTCCCTTGGGATCTAAGAGCTGTCCCATCCTGTCCCATCCCAGGTCTCCACGGGGACACCCCGATTCCTTTGGCCTTCACACCAACAACTCCCAATTCCGTGGAATCCCACGGGAGCTGCCAAGTCCCAACACAACCCCAGCGACTCCCCCTTTGTCCTGACCCCATTCCAAGGCTGATTCTCTCAGGGGGAAGCAGCGGCTCAGTCGTGTGACACTTTTCCTTTTCCCTGCTCAGCTGAATCCTGCAAGTTTTCCAACATTTGCTTCCCACTCTCCTGGTAGGATCTCGTTGCCTGCGACACACAATCGACTCTCCCTCTTGTTTCCCTGAGTGACAGCCCCAAGTGACATTAAAACTCCACTTCAGAAGGCAGAGTTCAGCCATTAACCCCATCACTGCCACCAAAGCATCACTGGGTGAGGGTCCAGTGCTCGGTCCTCACACTGGGACATCACTTTCCTGCCCAAAATCACACTGGGAGTTACCAACGGGATTTTCACCCCATGCAGAGCTCAACTGGAGGGTAAATCCAGCACAGGAGATTTGATTTTTCTGTTTGAGCTGATTCTGATTTGTATTTAACTAATTCTGGGCTGTATTTAGCTGATTCTGAGCTGCATTTGAACTGATTTTGAGCTGGATTCAGCTGATTCTGAGCTGAATTTATCTGATTCCAAGCTGTATTTAACTGATTTCAAGCTGTATTTAATTGATTCCAAGCTGTATTTGAACTGATTCTGAGCTGCATTTCAACTGATTTTGAGCTGAATTTAACTGATTCTGAGCTATATTTTAACTGATTCTGAGCTGCATTTTAACTGATTTTGAGCTGAATTTAACTGATTCTGAGCTGAATTTGAACTGATTCAGGGCAGTGTTTTTACTCATTCTGAGCTGCAATTCTGAGGTTGTTTGACTGATTCTGAGCTGTGTTTAACTGATTCCAAGATGTATTTAAACTGATCCTGAGCTGTATTTTAACTGAGGCTCAACACTTTTGGCTCCTTTAGTACCAAGCTCAGCTTTCTTTGTCACCTCTATACTGAAGTAGCCTCTGTCCACGTAGTCTCCCAGGAAGAGGTAGCGGGTGTTATTGGGTGATCCTCCAACTTCAAACAGCTTCATCAGGTCAAAAAACTGCCCGTGGATGTCACCACACACTGGGGGAGCAAAGAACAGCACAAAAGAGGGACAGAATTACACGCCAAGAAAAGAAAGGTCACGACACCAACAAGGAGTCGAGCGCGGCCTCGACCTCCGCCAGCAAACCCCTCTCTTCTGAGAGTTAAAACACAGCAAAAACCCGTGTCAGCCCTGCTGGTGTTACCCCAGGTGGCCCTTTTTGGGCTCTCTGACCTGTGATAGGGGCCTCCACCTCGATCATGGTCTTCTCGTGCCTCAGGATGGCGGCGCCGTCGTTGATGATCTTGAGCGCCGCGTCCTCCTCCAGCCGCCCTTCCTTCACCAAGTGGCTCTTGAGGACGTCGAGCCTCGGCTTCCCATCCTCAAACACCTCCTTCAGGGTGAGCCGCTGCGTGGGAGGGAATGGGACAGCTGGAAAGGGAAGGGAAGGCAAGGAAGTCAGCAACATGTCTCTTGGGTTTTTTTTTTGGGGGGGGAGAGAGGAATCGCGGTGTTGGCAGCGGGATGGATTTGATTCCCAGCCTGGAGCAGACACTCAGAAACTGGATTTCCACTGAAATTATGCTCCCAAATCCTGAAAAAAGAAGAGCTGAGCTGCCAGAGTTATGAATTCACCCCCCAGCTTGGCTAAACACCCAGACTGTGTGCCATCTGCACCCGCTCCAGAGCTGCCTCCTAATTCCAAGGGGACAATCACAATGTTGCACTAAAACAGGTTTCATGCAAATATCAGCAAAACCAGGAACCATCAATTCAGGTAGCAGGACCAATATGTCCCCCAAAAAGCAGAAGTTGCTTTACAGGTCTTTTCCAACCCCAGTAATTCTGTGATATGCCAGAGTATGTTGAATTTAACAGGACAGAGCTAGACAAATAACACAGGGAGGAACAGCGGTGCCACCCTTTTAAATGCAAATCCAGCAGCAATCTACCTGGAAAACTCCCGAGGGAAAAGGAGGATGAGGCTGCACAAGGGATTCTTTAGAGCTGAACATCAATTTTCCAATCACAGGAGCTGCAGGAGCGAGGAGAACAAGAGCTGAGCTGATCTGATGAAAGGTGGTGCCTGCAATAAGGTGGCCCTGCTTTCATGGGTCCCTTTGGAAGTTGTGCTCCCACGTGCCTGGAACGGTCCAGAGCACACACAGAGCCTTCCCCATGGAGCTGCCAATTAAAGAGGGTTAAGCAAGACCTCCCTGAACCAACACAGGCTGGACGAGGGGTTTTAGTGCATCCAGAGCTCAGCCCTGCCCCAAAAGCAAGAAACGGCCCCTCTGGATGTGGATTTTGCAGGATTTCACTTATTTTCCCCCTCTGGATCAGTGTAGGGATGGCAGGAATCCTGCAGTGGAAGGAAGTCAGGGAAGCTGCACGAATAGGATCAGGTAGAATGAGCAAAAGGAGCTGTGTGGAAATGTGGGCCCAGGGCTTGGAGTGAGGGAGGGTTTGGGACTCGCTGCCATTGAGATGCTGGAAAATCATTTGTCAGCACTTCTCCAAACAGTGGGGTTGTCCTGGCATCTGCCACCCGACTCCAAAGGGAGGGAGAGAACACCTGGAGGCCGAGTGAGGAAGAGAAGGGAGAAACAGGAACCATTCCCCTCCCATATCCCCCATCACTCCAGACCCTCAAACACGGCCACCACCTCGGGAGCCACCCTGAAGAGTAAAAAGCCCCCAGAAGTGGGGTCAGAGAGCTTAGAGGAGCTGGGATGTGACTCCAGGAGCTGTGCTGCCCATCCCACCATCCAGAGACCCACGGGAAGCTTTGGAACTGTGGTTTTGCCTTTTCCTGGTGGCCCCAGCGAGTGAAGTTATGCAAGATAAAATCTGAGGCTGCGCCAACGGGAGCAGCCAAGAACTTTTATGTAAGTTCCCTCCTTGGCTTTGCACAGCTCCACTCCCACAAGGAGCTGGGCAGGAGAAGGAACCAGCTTCTCCTCTGCTCTGCCTGTCTGCCAGCCAAGCTGCAGGGAGAGAATCCTGCTCCGGAGATGCCAGAGGAACAGCACCAGCCCTGGGATGCACACACACAGCTCCTCCTTCCAGGAAGGAGGCCTGGATATTTGGGAATGAGGAAAAACTGGGAGCAAAATCCTGTGCAACGCTCCTAAGTGCATGGCCTGGCTGCTGGAAGCTTCCAGGATCCATGGGGTGATTGGCATCTTATCCCAGGGATCTGCTCAGATCCTGGGAGTCCATTTGCTTCCCAGAACCAGGATAACCAGTGACTGCTCAGCCCTTCCAGCATCCCCTGGTCAGGGCAGGACCAAAATGACTCCAGCCAAGCTCTGTGGAGAGAGGGATCCCACAAGGATTACTCCACATCACCTGCTGTCCTGCTTTTTATGCTTCCTGCTATCCCACCCCTAAAAATCCTTCCTCATTCCCTGAGCCGGTCGTGTGGTGTCAGAGCAGACCCCTGTGCCATGGAGCACCTCAAAAGCTTTGTGGGAGTCACAGGAAGGATGTAACAGAGCCCAAGTGCTTGGAAAATCAAAATCCACGGAGTAGGGCATGAGGATCAGCATTTAATTAGTGTTGTCGAAGCGAGGAGTCCTGTCAGGCAGCAAAATTTGGGCTCCAGTCGCCTCGTGCCAGAGCTGATGTGAGGAACAAACCCCCCCTTTTGTTAAAGAGATGGATTTTATCCTTATTAACAATTGATTCTGTCAGGCAGCAGGAAGGAGGGGAGGAAGAGGATGATCCTGCAGCCAAGCCTGGGCTCTCTGACAGCAGGAACAGCCCTCAGAGCAAACTGACCCGGAATTTTGCACCCCCAGGGCACTGAGAAGGGTGGAAGGACTTGCCCAGTTCTGAAAAGTGGGGAGTAACTCCTGATCTCACAAAGAAGTCATGGAATCATGGATGGTTTGGGTTGGAGGGACCTTAAAGCCCACCCAGTGCCACCCCCTGCCACGGGACACATTCCACTAGCCCAGGTTGCTCCAACCTGGCCTTGGACACTTCCAGGGATGCAGGGGCTGTCACAGCTTCTCTGGGAATTCCATCCCAGCCCCTCCCAGGGAAGAATTCCTTCCCAATATCCATCTAAATTTCCCCTCTGAGTTTGAACCCATTCCCCCTTGTCCTGTCCCTGCAATGCCATGGGGTGGAGTGCCCAAGCAGACCCAGCATATTCAGCTCATCGTCAGAGTCAGCTCTCTCATAATCAATGGAAATGATGGATAAAACACTCACAACATTCCAAGAACTAAACGCTGTGACCTCTGTGCCACCTTCCCTTTGCACACAAACCCGGGTGTTGCACCCAGAACTGTTTAAACACTGAGATCTGTAGGTCTGGGATGCGGAATTCTGCAAGGGCATCCAAACCCCCTCCCAGGAAAAGACAATTCCCGACCTCCTGACAGGACCACAAACGAAAGGACACGAGTGCAAGTGAAGTCTGAGGTGTGCAATGGATTAAAAGGTCAACTGTGCCCGAGGGACTTCAGGAAAATTAAGAGGATGGGGAGATCTTTGTTAGACTCCAGTGCGAGAGACTCCGTTTGCTGCCAAATTAAGACAGATTTTAAATGCCAGGCCAGGAGCAGGTGGGCATTTGAAGTGTTCTGAAAGCACATGGACAGATAGGGATGGGAGAATTTGGGGGAAAAAAAAAGCTGCTTTTGTACCACCAACTCTACCAACCCAGAGCATCACTCGCCCCTCAGTGAAAGATGATGATATTCCCGCAGGGAAAACCACGTTGCTTTCCACATTTTTTTCTACATCTGTCCTTAAAATGTATTTTAAATACACTTAAAATGCAACTCCCATCAGGGCTGCCCGATCCCCACTGGCTCCAGACAGAGCCAGTGCCATGGAAGAGAAAACAGAGTGATCCACAAATGATTGTTTATACATCCCAGAGTCCCGGGGAGGACGGGACGGAGCAGCCGAGGCGGATTCATTACTGAAAAAGGAGCAAGTGCTCCTTGCCTGGAGTGGCAGCCACGGCCAAACGCTGCTCCCCGGCTCTGGGAGGAGCAGGAGGTGCCCCCTCGAGCTCCAAAAAAAATCAGTTAGGATTAAACAGCCTCGGTAACAAACTCCAGAGAGATTTCCCTGGAGCTCCCGGTGCCACCTGGGAGTGAACCCGAAGGGCACTGGATGCAAAACCCCTGCCCTGGTTGGGAGGCACAGGGTTATAGGGGCACTTTGGAGAGGGAAAACAGCACATCTGGGGCAAAAACAGGGATATGGACACCAAGGAAGCTGAGCAGGGCTGTCAAAGGTAGAAACACCCCCAGGGAAAATTCATCCAAAGCCCCTCTGAAAGGGAGGAAAAGCTGCCTCCTGTGCTGAGCTGAGCAGAGCACGAGCAGCAGGGCAGGGGTTTTTTTTCCCTCTTTCCCAATTTCCTAATAGCCCAATGTTATTTTTATCCGGTGTTTCATTCCCATTCACACCTAACCTACATTCATCCACTCAAAGCTGAGCCCAGGGCTCACACCGAGTTGGCTCAGGGGAATGATGTGGAGGAATTCAGCCAGGAAAAGGCCACAGCAACACCATTTGTGCTGGGAGAAAGGCGGATTTTCGGGATCATGCCGAGCTTTAGGAGTCATTAATGGGAAATAAAACCTTGCAGGCAGGTGATGGATCCAGCCAAGCTGATTCCTGCTGCTCTATCCAGGATCCAGAGCAAAAGCAAGGACAAGGCTGGGCCTCGGCAGCTTCTCGTGTTCAAACCTGATGTTAAAATCACAGGATTATGGAATCACCCAGGTTGGAAAAGTCCTCCAGGATCAGCAAGTCCACCCTGTGCCCCATTCCCACCTCGTCCCCCAGTCCAGAGTATGGAGTGCCACGTCCTCTCCTTCCTTGGACACCTCCAGAGGTGGGGACTCCAAACCTCCCTGGGCAGTTCCAATGCCTGACCGTCCTTTCCATGGAATAATCTTTATTTTCCTTGAAATGCTAAACAATCCAAATTTCTGGCCATTTAATATAAAATATCTTTGCTTTAATAACCCTCACCCTGCTTTCCATGAGTTTTTCCCTCCCCTGAGATGCCCCTCAGGGCAAGTTTATGTGAGAACCTGCAAAACCAGGTTGTGTGCCTGATATCCCGAATTTTTCCAAGCCTGGACCAAGCCCTGACAAATAACCTGTGTCATTTTTCAGGGCTGGCCCTGCCATGTCACAGAACTGCTTCTTCCCTTTCTGTGAGGGGAAAAAAATGAAGTGATATTTCACTCCCTGGAAAATTAATATTTCACTTGAGGAAATCAGTAACGCTTCCCTTGTTCACGTAAAAATAACATTAATACCTCAGAAAAATCACCAAGTCAAGCAAACACCTTCTCATATAAAAGCATCAACAGCCAGAAATTACTATTATAATTATTATTATATTATTATTGCCATTTCTGTCTGTCTTCCCCCAGATTTTTGCATGTTCCATCCCTCCAAGGGCAGCAATTTTCCCTTCTTGCTCTGAGTAAGGAAACCTTGGATTTCAGGAGCTTCAAAGACTCATAAATAGAGGGGGGAAAAAAATGCCAGAGTTTTACTTCTCAGCCCTGGAAGTGCTACAGGATGACCACAAGATTTGGGATTATCTGACCTCCTATGGGATGGCAGCTCCTTCAAACAGATGCAGTTTATAACGTCCCAGTTTTACCCAAAATTAGTCAGAGTTTTGCTGCTGGAGCTGAATCCAACCTCCCAGCGCCCAACTGGTTCAGAGCTCGCTCTGCTCCTCACCTGGAGCCACACTCCTCTTTGTAGCCCAACCAGAATATCTCCTCACAATAACCCTAAAAATATCCGTATTGTAGGTGGAATTCTATCAACTGAATGATTTCTTTTCAAAGGGGAGAGTCGCAGCCATCCCAAATCCGAGGCCGCTCCCGGGCAGCAAATCCGCCTGTACCTCAACAACTTCCTTCCAGTCATTCCAGGAGTAACACCCAGATTTTGAGGGCACGTTTGGGAGAGCCTGGCACGCCCCGGGCTGAGCAGGAGCCAGGTGCATTTAAGGCTAAAAAAAGCAAGGGACAGTGCTGTGCATGGAAATGCAAATCCAAGCACGGCGTGTGCCAGCGGAGCACGGCCCGGGCCACGCTCAGGGCTCCCCCAGAAACATGGAATGCAACACTCAGAGGCTTAAAAAATATGGGAATCAGAGCCCATCCTTGAATTTGGATGGAGATATCACAGAATCATGGAATCACACAATGATTTGGGTTGGAAGGGAGCTTAAAATCATCTTGTTCCACCCCCTGCCATGGGCAGGGACACATTCCACCAGCCAAGGTTGCTCCAAGCTGGCCTTGGACACTTCCAGGGATCCAGGGGTTTCTCTGGGAAAACCACTCTGGTGCCTCAGCACCCTCACAGGGAAGAGATATAAATTATGGCACTTTACAGCTCCATAGATCCCTAAAAACTTCGGGATAGAAGGTGATTATCCTTCAACTGGCAACCTGGACAGCGAACAGCGTTGTCAGGCCAGGGAAACACGAGGTGCCTTTGCCAAAGAGGATTCACCAGCAGAGCTGTGGCCGAGCTCTGCCAGGGCTGGCAAGCCCAGGGCCGGCGGTGACAGTCCCACGAGGTGGAGCTGGAACTCTGCTCCCTCTCCCTGCTCCCGGAGGAGCCCAGGGGAGATTAAAACCGGGAGTATTTAATTAGAACAGAGGCGACTTAAGCCCGTGAGCGCACACCAGGCGCCAGCTCCAGCCTGGGGGAGCTGCTCACAGAGCCTTGCCCACAGAAAGCAGCTCTTCACACCGTGGATCCCACCCCGGGAGGAATCCAAACCCACCCGGATCCAGGCCCACTGTTGGTCCTACTCCTGTCAAAGCTCCAAAGTGGATCAGAGACCGCCTCAAAAATGCTCTCGGTGGGCACTGAGCTCTCTGGGAGCAATGCAGGTATCAAAGCTGCTCTTCCTTACGAGGTCCTGCAAGTTTCCAGCTTAGATTTGTCTCCTAATGACCGGCACTGATGCGGATTTGCCCAGGATTGTCATTGAGACGATCTGTGCAGAGCCCAGTGCTCCCACAGGGACACGGGCTGCGGACATGCCCCAGGGCCAACTCACCACTGGCAGTCAAGGAGGGCTCAAAACCCCCCCAATTCCAGCCTGGAGAACCCTAAACCCCTCAATTCCAGCCTGGAGAGCACCCAAACCCCTCAATTCCAGCCTGGAGAGCCGCAAAACTCTCAATTCCAGCCTGGAGAGCCCAAAACCCCTCAATTCCAGCCTGGAGAGCCCCAAACCCCTCAATTCCAGTCTGGAGAGTCCAAAGCCCCTCAATTCCAGCCTGGAGAGCCCAAAACCTTTCAATTCCAGCCTGGAGACCCACAAAACTCCCAATTCCAGCCTGGAGAACCCCAAACCTCTCAATTCCAGCCTGGAAAAACTCTCTCTTTTTGAGACACTCGAGCTCTACAGACTTCCCATCAGTTAAAAATAGATGTATTCCCAGAAAATAATCAACCCTGGACCCACGGCAAAGCCGGCACCTTCCTCTCCTCACTCCCAAGGACTCCAAGGAGTCACTGAGGACTTGAGGGGGAAAAAAGGAGCAGGAAAAGGGGGAGGTTTCCAGTAAACAGCTGCAGCTCCTTTAAAAACCAGTGAGCTCCCCACAGGAGCCGGGAGGGGATTCCTAGATGTCAGCAGGCAGGGGAAGGCACCACCTGTTTCCCAAGGTTCCAGCACGGCCACTAATAGATCCCTACTGGAGGCACAGCGGGGGTTTTGTGGGAAAGGCAAATCCCCCCCACCTGCCCGGGAATGTGAACCTGACCCTCCCGCTGGATCCCG